TCCGTCAACGTCCCGATCCGGTCGAGATGTTGAGATCAAAGGTCGGTCGGTGGGGGCGTCAATGTGGTTTGCTGTTGCTGTGCCTGTTGTGCTTGCTGCTGCTGGAGCGCCTGCGCCAAGCCCGAGGGTGGTGTGGTGAGCGCCGGTGTCTGACGCTGGTTCTCCTCTTTGCGGGCAGCAGCGGCGGCCGACGCAGCAGCAGCCGCAGCGGCCGTAGCGGCAGCACTCTTGGCGGCTTGGGCCTGGATCTGTTCCTGGGCCAACTGCGCGGCTTGCGCGGCAGCGGCGATCTCCTCTTGGCTGAGCGTGCTCGTGCTGACAGGAGCACGACCGGTAGCGTCGACCTTGGCGCTCGCCCCTCCGCCGGACTGGAGGAGCTGCAAACCCAGCAAGCCGTGCGAGCCAGAGTGAAGGTAGTGGTATCGCAAGCCGTTGAGGTTCTTATATCGCTTGCCACATGCACCAACTTGGCAGATGTAGAGACGGTCACCGAGCGGAATGGGCGCGTGGACGGCAGGGCTAGCTGGATCGGGGGACGAATCGGCGCTGGCGGTCGGCGACGAGGGCGAGCCCAACGAGGGCGTAGCCGTGTCGTCCTCCATCTTGACACCATCGGCCGACTCGGGCTGCGGCGAGCCTGTGGTCGAGTTGGTGGTGATGTGGATGGTGGGTGGCTGCGCAGCAGCCTGAGCAGTGATAGGCAGGTTGTTCTGGTTGCAGGCGCCGTGGAGGCGGTGGTATTTGAGGCCGTTCATCTGCTTGTACGCCTTGTCGCAGCCGGGAGCCGGGCACTTGTATGGCTTGTCGACGTTGGCGGCGCCGGCGCGTAGGGCATTCTCGAGCGCGATAGTGGAGGCGCTAGTCGCAGCGCTGGTCTTTTCGCGCTTAGCAGGAGGCTGCGAGGAGGAAGCGGTTCCAGAGGCCGGGAAGAAGAGGTTGGGAGGAGCACAGGAGGGGAGGTCGTGTGAATCGGTGTTGCTCGAACGGATCGAGAGGGCCGAAAAGGCGGCAGGGTTGAGACCGTTGGTAAAGTAGCCATCGTTCTCGGAATCGAGGGAAGGCGTGCCTGGGATGGAGCTGCCGGGTGTCGAGAAGGGAGAGTTGGGAGCGTAGATGTTGGGAGTGCCCGGTGTCCTACGACCAACGCCGCCATCGATGAGGGCTCTCCTGAGGGACGAGTGGATGGCGCCGTTGGGGTTGGAGGAGGTGGCGTTGGCGTACTGGCCAAACGAACGCTTCTTGCCCTTTGCTAGTGACGGCGAGCGCATCACTGCTGTGTCAAATGCCGAGGCCTTGTCGGTGTCGTCGAGGCCGGTCGGCGTGGTTACGTTCTCGGCTGTGCTGGACCCGGGCGTGGTGACAGCCGTGGCGGTGGCGGCAGCGGTGGATGTCGAGCCTGCATTCGAGGTGCGTGGGCTGGATGGTTGGGATGTGGAAGCGTTGGAGGAGCCGGAAGATTCGATTTCGTCGTCGGCGATCATCGCAGGCATCTCGTCGTCCTCGAAACGAACGTGGCATTCTTCGTAATGCTGAAGTAGATCGTGGAGATCGTCCAGCTTCTGGCCGCAGCATGTGAAGTTGCGGCAGAAGGTCGACTCGAGGCGGACAGACGACGGAGCGACGGTGACGTCAGACTCGACGGAGGTGCCAAATCTTGAGATGGAGTAGTCCATGATTCTAAAGGAAGATGGAACGAACAGAAAAGGGCGTTAGAATAAACGTTCGAGCCTGGGACGGTGCGCCAATCGAGGAAGGGCGAGACACTTACTCGGAGACATCCTTGCCGAAGGAGACAGCCATCGGCTCTTTGTAGCTGGCGCTGCCAACAAAGCTGGAGGAAGGGCGTGGCGTAAGGCCGCCGGGACGCTGAAAGCCGAACGAGTCAATCCGTCCAGGAGCTTGTGCGATTGGAATCGGTGCTTGCATCATGGGCAAATGTGGTGAGGGGAGGGATCGCTGTATGCGGCGATGACGAGGTCGGTGTTGTGGCGAAGGGTGAGGTCGACGTGATCGCCTGACTGGATCGCCTTCTCGAACAGGGTTTAAGGGGCGCAGAGACGACGACGACAACAACAGGTCTGTTGGTTGGTGATCGAGAAGGTGACGGTGTTGCAACAGTTGATGGACGTGTCGGAGCTGCCGATGCAAGCGGGATGAGTGCTAGGATCGATTGGTTTGCGGAGGTGATAGATGTGAGGTGTATGTAGGTAGGTGCGAACCAGATCGTCGAGGAACGAGCAGGCGATGTGATTATAGCCAAGAGGGCGAAAACGAGATGAGGGGGTAATATGGGGACGATGATTGGTGCTTCCTCGACGGGAGCTTTTTGGTTTTGAGTAAGTGGCGGACTGTGCTGCTGCGCTGCTGTAGCTGTGCAGATAGATGTGCCTTTTGGAATGCGAGAGGTGGATGAAGAGTGGGTTTGTGCGTAGCGCAGCGGAAGAAACAGAGAGGGTTGGAGGTTCAGGATCAGAGTGATTGAATGGGATGAGATGGGATGGGATGCACTCGGATGAGCTAGAATGGGATTGGATGAAATGAAGTCAGGACCAGGAATTGCGGGTGAGGTGGCAGCGCAGCGAGACCAGCCAGTCAGGGTAGACAGCGAGTGTATGGAGCGAGTGTGTGTGTGTCTGTCTATGTGTGCGTGCCAGGGTGGGATTTGGAAAATCTCGCGGGCAGCGCAGCAGTCGACCGGTTCAGCAACGGACCTAACGTTTCGAGAAGAACTGGAGAAAGCAGCGTGGCGGACTCAGCACAAGCTCACAGCCGAATGAATCCATCTTGGATGGCAAAGCGAAGCTGGCTTTCAGGAAGAAATGCAACCTCGCTCTTACCAGCACCAGGGTCGGCCGCGGCACACTGCTTTGGTGCCGTGTAGTGCGGACAATAGGGGAAAAGGAAAAGCACAGTTGAAGGGAAGAGAGCCTGCATGATGCGCAGGCAGGTCTCTTCTGAAACTGTCGAAAGGTGCGCGTGAGCCGTTGCAGGCCAACAACCGAGCACTTTACGGTTGACACGGAGACAAAAACCAGACTTAGCCAGCGGGAACAATGTTCAGCGGCGGTCGAACCGTTGGATTTTTGTTGTTGCTGTCTTATTTTTTTAGTTAAGGGGATAGAAAACCCCCAATTAGTTGCGAGTGCCGAGAAAGTGAGGAGCAAATTACAGGGGGGGTTGCTCTCATCCCTGCGAGCGGGCGAACGGGCGAGCGGACCTTTAGAAGCGAGGTTGATGACAGGCCCAATGGTTGAACTTTTTTTTGAGATTTCAGAAGAAACGAGACATGCGGCTTGTCTGAAATTTCACCTGGCAGAGGAACCGAAAAAAAGTTCAGGCATAATAGCAGGGAAGACGCCGAGATTCTGCCGAGGTTTCTCTTTCTCTCTCACCTTCTGGACTTTCCCTCGATGACAGAGCGCAGAGCAAGCTTAGAGATGCGCGCAGGCAGGCACCATCGGCATGCTGTCACAGCGAACTCAACTCGCTCGGCTGACTGTTGCCTGCTGTCCTGCATATCACCCTCGAATTCTGGAGCAGCGCTGGACATGTCGTCGGGTGTTGTTCGATGGTCCAGCCGCCAATTGTTTGACTCTCCATCACGAACGCTGGCCGGGAATCCTGCCCGCCCTTCTTGACACAATGTCGGCTGGTTAATCCTACGATGCGATCGCGAGAGCAAGGTCGCGGGAGCCACTTTCACACAACCGGTCGAACAATGGCGCCTGGCAATGGCACTTGTTTGTCCATCGCAGCACCTCACAGCACTTGACGGCGAGGTTCAGTGTCAGACATCGGCTTGGCAATGACTAGCACCCAATTCGTTGACCGGCACAGCCTACAGGTGCTGGACGCCACTAACGCAGCTGTGCGCATCCGAGCAGCGCTTGGTTCTGCCTCCAGTGTAGTGGCAGCTTTTGGAAGTCCGTGTTCCAAACAAGCCGAATCCAGCCACATTGGCGCTCTACACTCAGCGTCCTGAGGGCACAATTGTTAGTGTGCATTTCGTTGATCCAAATGCCGGGCCAGCCAACGCGTGAACCTGTCGATGCAAAGAAGCAGTTCAGAACGCCTCCTCCGTCTTGAAGATGAGAAGGAGGCTTCGAACGGCGCTTCGACGCCATGCAACCATCGTGCCAAACCTGAAGGTCGATTCTGCTCTGGGAAGGGGGGCTGGGCTCCATCGTCTCACGGGGCGCGACCGCGGCTGGCGTGTCACACCGACCTTGGCATGTCGCGGGTCTGCTTCTGCCTTCGTCGTCGGACAGTTGCAAAGTGAGAACAAGGATCATAGGCCAAACCCGCCTGCACCAGAGCAAAGCGACTCGTTGGAGCGATCGTATTTGGCCCTAGGCACGTTCCCAGGGCAGAGCGAGACACTTTCACCCTGTGTCTGTCGGTAATTTCCGGCATGAAGACGCTTTTGAAGGTGGCAGCCACCTCGCGTGCGCAGCCTCGCCAAGCTAGAGCAGAGGTGGCAATTTCCATAGCCAGCCTAGAAGCAAGCTGCCACTGTTGCTTGTTTTGCTTCCTAGCCTGATTCAATGCGGCAGACAGACTAGTGCAGCCTGCTCCTGCAGGGTTTGGCCGTTTATGCTCAAAGGCCGCAACGGTCAACTTGCGCGGTCCGAATGCATTTGGCCTTTAACCTCACCTCTTGCTGGGCACCACAGAACTGTTTCGTGCCTACGCAACCGATGGCACTTGTCGACATCGCCCCATGTGCGGACGTGGGTGAAACTTGCCATTGTCTTCGTCGTCCGTCCAGCCGAGGCAGCAGCGAGCAACCTAGCGGCTTCCGTCGACAGCCAAGAATCACTGCAGGTCAGTCAGAAAGTTTTTTACGTTCAAACTCCGACATGCACCTCAAAGGTCTCGTGGACGCTATTTGGCGACAGAGAGCGCTGCAGCGGAAGCTGTGTGGTGCAGCTAGGGACGCGGCAGCCCTGTCGCCGAATCTGCCTTGGCGGCAGATGAGCCGATCCTTCCGTCTCGTTTGAGTGGTACAGGTGAACCCTCAAACTGGGTCTGGAATTCATGGACGTGTTAGGTCCCGCTACGACGTGTCATTGTTTCCAACCTTCATGTCGCCTCCACGATGATCGTGCGATGAACACGGGGAATACCAACTCCCGTTCGATGCAATCGAGGACCATGTTGCGCCGGGTGTCCCATCTCGGCTCGAGCGGTCGAGCCGCCGACGGAAGAATGAGCTGTATCTCAGAACCACAGACTAAGTGAGGGGCACTGATCCCGACGGGCAAGATAGGCGATAACCTTGGCCACATTTGATCCTTGGTGACTGCTCATCTGGCTGGGGCAGCATCACATCGCCACCTTGCAAGTCAACGTGTGGGTTTGATCGCACTGTTGTCACCACCACCAGAAAACAATGCAAGAGACCAACAGAAGCGGTATCAGCTAGCCGAGGATATGACATCAACGTGTCCACTCGACCGGTCTGCTTTCTTCTGGAGGGTACCATGGGCACTTGCGGGCTTGTCTTCCTCGAGTCAAGTGATGTGTGGACCTCACAGCTCCTTGTTTTCCACATCTAGCTGACTCACGTCACACATGATGTAAGGATCCGGTGTTTGAATGGACAGCCATCATCGTATCGTGTCGGGCTCGATCCTCGAAATCATAGGTATAGTTTACCTACCCATGCTGTCGGTCTTGCCGAGAACGCGAAAGAACTGAGTGACGCGGAATAGGAGGTCATAGTTGCACCCCGGACATGGATCCCTATCTAGGTGCCCTGCATGAAAGATGGCACATGGCAAGTTGACTTTCTCCAGGTCCGCGTGATACATTCAGTATACCGCCTCCTCTACACTAGAGTCCTTTCCATGCCGAGTTGTTACCAGCCTTATCCAATTTCGAGACCAAGTCTGGCGAGACCCCCTAGGAGGTCAAGTCGTGACGGTCTCGCCATGGCCATGCCGCTACGATGAGCTCGACCGGATGCAGTCGAAGACAGGTTGAACCGCCTAGAGGGTTGAGACTAACTGCATGCCCAACAAGTTTCATGCGAAACCTCGCTTGCCCTTTTTTTGGTACTTGACGCTATTTCGGCAATTTGAGGTGGCACACACCATGCCGAGATCGTGTCACTCCGAAGTTCAGCATGGAATGTCGCTGTCTCATTCCGCCGAGTCGAGGCTTCTGTGAGACACACAACGAGACCGTCTGGGAAGCCCAGAACGGCGGTAATGAACTCGCTTGCTACACCTCTGCTCTGACGGCCTCGGGTACTAGATCCGAAGCTAGCACAAACGGGCTCCTTGTTGACCGACACGTAAGTGGTGATCTGCTGAACGGAGACGCCGACCGTCAAGCGTCGGCTCCCATCGGCTCTGCCTTGGCGCGGGGAGTAGTGTGGCATTGCTGATCCTTGCTTCAAAGCACCCGAGGGTCTCGTCCGAGCTCTAATCCAAATTCCAAGCAGGGTCTTAGCGGCTGTGCCGAATCAGAGCCACAGCACACTCCGTATATGCAATGTCGCCGTCCACTGCTGCAGGAAACATCAGGTTGACCGGTCTCTCACCCAAACGGCATCGGGGAAAAGCTGTAAGCTTCTAGACCAAACTAAGTCTACGAAGGGGAATGCTCGCGTAAGAAGCATGCCTCGTCGTTGGTCGTCAGGCCATCGCTCTTCCAGAGCCGAGCCGAGCCGTCTAGCATATCAACTTATGCCGGCCAAGTGGGAAGATTAGTGGCTCGCAAGAATTACTTCTGCAGCATCTCGGCGGATTCAGATGAAAGCACGACAGAGTTCGGACTTCAGCGTCGGCGCCGAGAGTGGTGTTCTGAGAAGCGAGCTGCATCCAAGGCTATTGGTGTTCCGCTGAGCTGCCAAGGTGCATCCATGGACTCCTCGTGCAGTCAACGAGTGCCGTCCCCGTAACCCGTCGCCCTCGTTGCAGATTGAGAACCAGCCGACTAATGAGGCGGTGGTTCATGCCGGCATTGCTGCATGGTTTCGGCTTCTGCGAGATCATTCGGCGCCCGTGAGGACCCTGATCTCCGAGTAGTCTCGAACAGCCTGCCGTGAAAGCACCGGGTGCTTACTTACTCAGATCGCTCAGGTCGGGAAGGGCTGACTGATCGAAAAATGTCGGTGTTACTCAGGCGAGGCTGTGATTGGTTGACCTTGGTGCAGCCGTATAAGTTTGATCGGAGTCTAGCAAGGTAATTGGTGCTCAGCCGCGGGGACTCTAAATGGCCGTCTACACGTCCGACCCGACAACGCTGGCAACAACACGGCTCGTGGAGATGGCAGAGTCGAGAGCCTGACCGACTGTCTGCCTTGCAAAGTCGCCACCTCGGACAGCGCAGGCCCGAAGTGTGCAGCATGCAAGGTTGCTCTCTCCAGGGTCTTCCAGAAAGCTTGTTCGTATTCTGCACATGTGGTCGGGACTCTGAATTTCATCTGAGAGCCCTAAATTTTCAAATTCTTGAACTTTCTTCTTGTCTCATTGGTCGAGCCTTCCTTCGCATCTGCAGTAAACCGCATGACCGGTCGCCCGGTGCACCCGCATTCTCGTCGAGGGATCCAATCCGAGTCGCAAATTGAGGACGACACGAGCGTCGGACGCTTCGACGACGATTCAGAGCCCGCCACCAGGGTCGAGATCAAAAGAAGCTCAGAGCAGGGGATACACCGTCTAGCGTACCCGCTGACGTGGAGCCGAACGTCTGTCACGACAATTGAAGCACCCAAAGACACAATTGCCAACGACCGCAGAGTTAGCTTTGAGTCTGACAGGTCCCGAAATGCAAAACAATGCCTCTCCGCTCAATTCTCCTCATTGCCTGGCGTCGGTCTCCCTGTCAGACTTGTCTTTGGAGCTGGATCCAGAAACACAGTTCGAGACGCCTTTTGCCGGTTTGAATACCGGAGCTAGGTTCCGCCTAAGCACGCTGCGAACGATGGACAAACTCCGTTGCAGACAACATCGCAGTTCGGCCGCTCGAAGTCCTGGCCCGCAAGAAAGCTTGGCAAGGCCAAGGCAGTGCGTGCCCTCACCTTCCGTGCGTTTCAAAAGGACCCAGTCGCGCCAGTACATGGACACTGATTGGGCAGGGCAGCCATTGTGGCGCGCGCTGCTGCAAGGGCGAGACACTTGCCGCGAAGTCAAGTTGGACAAGCATGCGGTGTGTTTGTCTGGTCAGAATTCATGCGATCGACAAGACGGAACCAAACTCCCGAACAGACTGCCAGATCTGTCCTTGTCTCCTTGGCCACCAACCACCGGGCAAGAGCGGGCTGATGCTCCGAGTTTTCGTCCATGCACGGAAGCGTCGGATTTCAACTCAAGGCTGGTCCCTCGCCGCACGCGGGAAACAGACGACCGAAGCTCAATATCGATGCTCAATGCGTTCGTGAGCCATGCGGTCAGCCACCTGGCATGGCGAGTGCACTTCGAAGCGACTCCCCGGTACGGTCCGCAATTCGGCTACAGATCTGGCATCTTGCAGCTTTCACTGCAGTGCGCCCGTTTCTGTGTACGGAAAAGACGGTGAGCGGCGTACATCGACGACACTGTCACACGAGCATGGCAAAGGACACTACTTGCGCTTCCTAGCGACTCGCCGCCTCTGCAGCTCTTCGCTTCGCTGGTTGCAGGACTTTGGCACGCACATACCACAGTGCTGGAGTCGAGCTCTCCACCTTGGGCACCATTCTAATTGGCACCCGGAATACGCAGAGAGCCCGGTGATGACTACCTCGGTACGATCTCTTAGGCGTCCAACGAGAAGAAGCCGTGCATCCACAATTGCACCGTGTCAGAAATGTCTCGGAAAGTTTGTTCGTTGCATGCCACGCGAGCTGCTGGAAATTCTCGAGTAGCCGAGGTTGGGACAATTTCATCACTCTACATCTGATCCTTTTGTTGCCGAGGTCCAGAGAGGATCTTCTGATGGAAGCGGTTGAGGACCGCTTTCTCATGCACCGGCGAACAAAGACCGATGTTGTCGTCACGATTCACTAGTCCGAAGCAAGGTGACCGAGCAGCTCTCTTGACTCGTTGCGAGACAGATCATTCCACGCTGTCCCTCGCTTCGACCTATTAGACCGGTTTCGACAACTTCATGCCGTCATGCTCTCGCTTGTAATGTAGCTCGACTAAGCATGTATGACCCCAATTGACGTCAAAGACAAACGCATGGCGAAGGTTGAGCGTTAACCGGTGGAACTCGCTAACCATCCGGTCTACGCGAGAAGACATGGTCGTCACAGTGGGCATCTCGCTTCAATGCGGTGGGCTCCCGGCGTTAAGGCTCGAGGATTTCGCCGGGAGCGACAAAGTCTCTCAGAGTGGTGCGAACGGAGAGAAAAGTCGGCCCGCGGCTGATGACGAGCCCGAGACCTCCGAACAATCCAGCTCGCATTGGCAAGTACGCTTTCTTTTATATAATGACAACTTCAGATTGAGCAGACATCAATTACAGGATCCGAATTAGTTTAGTGGCTATGACGGCGCCTTGTCATTCAATTGACGCTTCTCCGCGCAGAAATCGGCGCAGACCCGGGTTCAATTCCCGGATTCGGAGAAATCAAAATCCTCATTTTTTTCTGGCGGCTCGTGTCATTTTTTTGGCCTCCTTTTCTTGCAGAGACTGAAAAGCTACAATGAGCACGGACTCAACATCTCGATGTCCTGCCCCCCTGTGGCCTAACCAGAGTGCCCGTTCGGCACCTTCTCCAGCGTCTCGCGTTGTGCGCGATCGTTCGTCGAAAAGCGACGACAACTGGGAAGCCAAGTCGAGCCAGGGGCCACACAATCAGCTTCAATATGGCCATGTTGAGTCGTAATCTGTAGCTCCAACTCACGATGCTTGTCGACATTAGCGCCAGGCCACCTTCGCCCATGCGCAGACGCAAAAGCAAGAAACAGTCCCAAAAAAGTTCGTGTATTGCAATCCAAAAAACATGTCCGTGGATGCGCATCGATCGCTATGAACCGGGTTCTGGCTTCGGCTGATCAGCAGCAACCAGTGCAGCGTCCTTGCTCGTCTCTGCTGCGCTTTCAGCAACGTCTGTAGGCGATATCGTCGCATTCGCCTTGGTGCCCTCGACGGCGTCGCCAACGACGACAGACGATTCGGAATCCGTGTCGCTGCCGCCCGTGTCTCCCGCAGCCGATCTCGAACTAGACGAGACGCTGCTCGTACCAGATCCTTCCGAAACCGTCGAAGTGACAGCGACGTTCTTTCCCGCATCATCTGCTTCCACCGCCGGCGTATCATCAGCCCCATTCGCCAGCGACTCCGCTTTCCTCGACATCGCTACCACTGCCGCACCCTCCCCACCCTCACTCGCCTTACCCACCGCTGGAGCAGGAGAATGCGTCGTGCTCGCTCCCCCATCCCTCCCACCCACACTCATCATCTGCCTTCCCCTCATCGAGCTCTCCTTGGCATCACTCCACTCCATCTCGTCGCTCGTATCCTCTCCCAACGGATGATGACCTTCCTCCCATCCATCGATATCATTATCGTTGATGCGGATGCAGTACGGCTCGTCCTCCAGCTCCTTCCGATGCTCCGCTAGCCATTGCGGGTCGAACAGCTGCTTGGGCAACAGCTTGCCGTACAACTTGATCGGGATCGGCAGGTCGACCGGATTGTCACGCCGCCAACGGGCCATCTGCTTACTCTTGCTGACGATGTCTGCTTTGTGGTAGGCCCGGGTGAGATGCTTGTTCCGCCACTTGGGAGTGACCGCTTCCCACCCTTTGGCGATGCGTAGCTTTCGCAATCGTTGACGTTTCCACTCCGACTTGGTGAGACCGTGCAGATCCTCGTCGCTGGCTGCATCGTCCGAGTAAGCACCCGGTATCAACAACTGTTTGGGAATCGCATGACGCAGCCGACCCGCGCCAATCTCGCGATTACGGCACTTGGTCTTGGCTCGTTCGACGCCCCTATACTTTTCATGCTTCTCCTTGTCTTCCTTTTCGGCCTGCAAACCCGTTCGCAGAGACATGCGGAATCCGGACCTCGCCGAATCCATGAGGTCCTTGGCGACATCCTCGAGATGATCTCGGTCGATCGTTCCCGGTACGATCGCATACGCTTCCGGCTTGGCTTCCACCTTTTTCGATCCTTCCGTGACGATGGCGTCGATGAGCGACTGATTCGTGCGGTAAAAGTCGCGACTTGTAAAGTCGACGTGGAAGATGTGCGTCGTGATCGGAGGCTGCGCCACGGCGCCTGCCGGTAATGAGGCGAGGATCTGCTTTTCCTCTTCCGTCAAGTGCGGGTTGGGCACCCACTCGGCCACCTTGTACGTGCTGCGAAGTTTTCGGAATTCGTCAGTGCCGAGCCAGCGGTAGAGGTGCTCTCTCAGATCGCGGAGGAGCTTGCGATTGCGGTATCTCTTGTCGCCCTCCTGTCTCAGACCCACTCCGAGCGTGGGAATGCGCTTCGAAGCATCTGACGGTCCGGGTAGGTTCGGATTGTTGGGATTGCGGTCAAGATGGTGAGACGAATGTGGGACTTTGGGAGTCGAATTGCCCGGAGTGGCAGAATGGCTAAGGCGAGATTTGCTTGCATGGTGCGCATCGGGTGTCTGGGATGGCTGCTTCGAGCTGCTCGCCTCCGCGTTGACCTGGGACGCAGGGCCCGCGGCCTTCGAGCGAGCCTGTTTCCGCTTCTTGCGCGCTGGCTCCGAGGTGAGATCGTCGAGTTCCGCCTCGGAAGAGTCGTCGCGTTCTTCGGGAGAGGTACGCCCTTGACTTGGAGCTCTGTTTGAGCTGTCCTTCTTGTTACCACCATCGACGGGTGCATTCAGCATCTGCTGCGCGACAGAACCGAGACCTAAAGCTTCCAGCATAGTTGGGGTGATACCCAACGAGGTGAGGGCGGCGAGAGCAGCAGCGTTGGAAAGCGGAGCACCATCGCTGGAAAGCTGTGCTGAGGTCTGCGGGATGTGAGAGCGGCCACCGTCGATGTCCGTCGAGCCTGAGCGAGGTTGCTGTCGTTGTTGCGGCAGACCTTGGTTCAACAACGCCTCGAGACCTTGCATCGAGTTCGGAAAGGGTCCGTTAGCGTTTCCATTGTTGAGCGACTGGAAGAGCGACAAAGTGCCATTGCGGCTCGATGGATCTGTGTTTTGCGAGAGATACTGCGCCAGGAGGGCCGGCAAGAATGACGGATTTTGGGAGCCGGCGCCTTGCTGGCCGTTGCCTCGCCCACCGATATCGTCTGAAAAGCCACTGTTGAAGCCACCAGATCCGCCGTTGGCAGCATTTGAGTTGCTAACGCCGTTCATGTTGAAGAGGCCGGTCGCGGCAGGACCTTGTTGGAAGCCCATGCCGAGATCGAACGGCAGTCCTCCCGCATTTGATGGTTGCTGCTGATGTTGCTGCATGCCGGGACCAGGAAGACCAAAGTTGTTCATAGTGCCAAAAAGGTCGTGGCCAGAATTGGAATCTTGTCCGAGCAGATTGGCGCTCGATGCGTTCAGCAAGCCAGTCATGTTGTTGTACGCTGGCGAACTTGATAACGCGCGAAGTTTGCTGACTCCTTGATCGAGTTCGGAAACGAGAGTTTTGGATGCGCGCTCGAGGATGGAGATGACATTGCGAATGTCGCCGCGATCCACCGGGGAAGCTTGTTTGGCGTCGTGCATCGCTTGTGAGAAGGTTGAGACCGAGGAGCGGGCATCTGACAAGATGGAAGCATGCTGATGAAGGAGAGAGGACTGTGTGACACCGAGAGCATCCGAATGTGTACCAAGCAACTGAGCAATGTTCGATTGGTGCTGCGACTGTGCAGGAGACGGATGCTGCTGCGCGTTGATATGGATGTTGCCCTGCTGTTGATGCGGTTGGCTTTGCTGGCCTTGCAGAGGCTGATGTTGCTGCTGCTGCTGTGGCTGCTGCTGCTGTGGCTGCGACGGTTGTCGTGGGTGCTGCTTTTGATGAGAAGATTGTCGCTGCGGTTGTGGACGTCGACGCGACTGCTGCGGATGCGATGGTTGGCCTTCGGGCAGCTGCGATGGTTGGGATGGCGAGCTTCGCGCTTGCTGCTGGGTGATCAGACTCTGGGCTGCAGGCTGTAGCTGGTTGTGCACGTGTGAAAGAAGCGAAGCCGTCGAGCCGGGCTGAGATGAAGCGAGCTGAGCAAAAGACGAATGAAGATGCTGCTGATGCTGATGCGATTGGAGCAACTCGGGGGGCAAGAGACTAAGCGCAGATGTGAGCGCATCCGTCGACATGGATGAGTGAGGCAGCACATTGGGAAACATTGCTGATTGGTGTCCGTTGGAATCGAGCCCGCCGGTAGACTGGCCCAGGTTCAAGGGGATGTGCTGTGCTGGCTGCTGCATACTGGGCAGACCGAACGGCAGCGACGGCCGGACAAAACGATGCTTTGAAGCTGCGGGAGTGGCAGTTACGGTTACGAGCTTGGTTTGTGGATGCCCAAGGCAGCTTTGGGGAGGCTGAATCGGCTGCTCGGCTTGCGATAAGACCACTAGACGAGCCGGCTAAACTGCGTGTCTGGACACAGTTGTTGGTGGTAAAGGTGCTGCCGCTACTGTTGCTGCCGAAGAGCGTCGCACCTCCGGCTGACGCGCGGTAGCTTGGCTGGTTGGAGGACCACAGCCTGCAGACTCGAGCCGCATGCGATGGTGTCGATGGAGAGGAGGCAACGAGATAGCGACCAGCAAGCTGTCTTTTTGGCCTGGCTCAAACGGGAAAGCCGCTTCGGCACGCTCTCTTGACATTTTCGGGTTGCGGAGTGCGCTAATTCAACAGAAAGACTGAAATTCCACCCTTAATTATCCTGCCTCGGCAAATCTCAAATTGGAGAGCTCCCTCTCCCGCGAGTCACTCACTGACTAGCAGAGCATTGCAACCAGCAATTCGACCTCGACATCTGGCTCACCACTTTGCTCGCCGATGAGGTTCGGAGATTGGCAGCAGCATGACGGTGCAGGCCCTGTTGCTTCCCAGCCTCAACCTTATCTGATCAATACAGAGGTCGATCCGGGTAGCAGACACAACAAAGCAAACTCAAACTTCGGAAGTGGCGCTGCAGATCGCAGAGCAACCCCACGACTTTATTCCATTCTGGGAACAAGATGCTATTTGGTGCCATTAATTGATGCTGGTTTACATGTGATGCGTCTCCTTACGGATCTAGATTAAGAAAAGTCCCTAGGACAAGGCTTCCCAGGAGCCTTCACTGATGCCTTCCACCCGCTGTCGAAAGTCCCACAGTCGATCCTTCAATTTGGCCCACGTGGCCTGACCACCTCGTGTGACGGTGAGGCGGAAGTTACGAGCCAATTCGGCTTGGCGTTGAGCGTCGTCTGGCGAGCTGATGCCCTTGGAAATCGATGCGTACGTATCGCTTCGCGCAGTGTCGGCAGGACAGCTGTCCTCGATCTCGCCTTTCCGTCCCGGACCCTCCAGGCATCGCTTGAGCAGCATTTGCTCGGTCTGCGGTACGGCAGCAAGCGGTTTGCCCTGCAATTCTTCGATGAGTACCCTCCGCAAGAGCTCATCGTTCAATATGCCGGTCAATGCATCGCAAAGGTTGAGAGTCGGCACATATATGGTGCTTGCAGCTGTGTCGTGGAAAGGCGCAGACGCCCCGTTCGAATCGTACTCTTGTAATGCGGCGTCGGCAGAAGCATCACGCTGTCGCTTGGACGGAGGAAATGGTGGTGTCATCATGCACAGCGATGCAAACGTGGTCGATATCCTTAACCGACGTATCGGAGAGTCTCGAAGGCTTGCAATCAGCCGCAAGATCTTGGGCGTGTGTCCAGGTGTGGAAATGTGAACGTCGAGTTCCTGCACACGGTGCCAGACGAGCATGCGGGAAAACACCTTGGGATCCTCGTGCTCGAGCAAAGGCAGGCTCATCATGATGCTCAGGTGTGTTGGCTGACAGCCTTGTTGGCGTCGTGCGATGCGTCGTGTCGGTGTCAGGTGAGCCTTGTGTCGGATGGTGACAGCACGGGTGCCTTGCATTCGAATCTCTGCCTTGAGCCAGCCTGGCATGTCGTCAAGTTCTTCTTTGCTGAATAGGTCGTCGGCATGCGCAGCTTCTGGCGGCGCCAGTTGATCTTCAGCATCGTTGTCGGGCGCTTCTGCAACGGCGTCGCCGTCGCCGTCCTCGAGCTCTCCCCACATCTGTACCGGCTGCGACGTGCCGAATCGGTAGCCCTCCCGAACCTGACCTGGATCTCGAAGCAGCGCCATTGACTCTGCGCGCCAAAGCGACAGGTGAGTCAGACTTGGTCCGCAGTAGTGGAGGAGTCGCAATAGCTCGTGGTCCCATCCAGCCGAGAACGAGGTGAGAGCCGAAACATCGTCAAGAGAGCAGAAGAGCGCCCTCGTGAAGCCAGCAAATTGATACGCCGGCTGAGCCTTGACCGACCTGGCGTACCATTTGCGAAAGTCGCGGACATGACGAGGCAGGATGACGATCGAGTACAGGGCGTCCAGGGCCCAGTAGCGCATCAGCCGGCTGACACAGCTCAGTCGTATGAGAGTGATGTGCGCAACGGGGTCACCGATCAAGACGCCCGGCTGAAGGTGGCGCACGACCCTCTCGAGCACCTCTGGTGGTAAGCTCGGTTGCGGTAGCAAATGCGAGTAGTCGCCATCTCCGATCTGCGCCAGTAGCTGTCCAGCTGGGTCGTGGATGCTGAGACTCGACAGCTGCTCCTCCAGCGTCTTATGGGCGGCGCCATTCCCCGCACTAGGCGACATGATCGCGATCCTGAGCTCCCGACTCTTCTGCGATCAGAACGCTACCGAGTCGAGGATCTGATTCTAGCATCACGTCATGGTCGTGAGGAATCCATCGCTATGTCTTGGTTCGGTGCGCTGCCGGTTTCGAGGGGAAAGTTGATGGCAGGTCGCCAAGAGGTAAGAGGGTGGCTTGATTCTTACTCGAGTGCCGAAAAAAAGATTCGTCAGGCTACACCTCCACAACCGCCTTTCCACCACCACGCAAAAGCCGCAAATTCACCGAAGCCTTGTCCGTCGATTCTGCAATGATGATCACAATCACAAGAGCACTCCCATAAGCGCACACAGGACCACAGACGCAACTATTGGATCATGTCAGGAGCATGCTATCATTTTGGGGTGTGTAGTGGGGGAAAGCGATTGAGAGTATATCGTGTACGAGGCGATGAAAACGTGACGACAGAACACGTTTGCCGATAGCGTTCGCCCCTCGCACAACAGATGCGTCGTGCGAACATACTCTGCAGTGTGTGTGTGTGTGTGTGTGTGTGTGTGTGTATATGATGTACAAAGATGCGAGCGAGTAGGGAACGAAATGCTTAGACGACGGTACCGGCGTTGGAGGCAATTCGTGGCCAGATGTCGGCGCACTCCTTGGCGACGGGTCCAGTGATGGCGGAACCCTTCATCTCACCCTTGGGGTTGACGATGACACCGGCGTTGTCCTCGAAGTAGAGGAAAACACCGTCGCGACGCCTCCAGGGCTTGCGCTGGCGGACGACAACGGCGGGCATGACTGTTCAGTGGAAGAATACGAGAAAGGAAGGTCAGTCGCTGAATTCAGAGGGAAGGCGATGAAAGATTGTCGCAAATCGCATGGACGACACAAAGCACCGTTGCTGTCGAGAGCCTGTCGTCGTCATCACCTGTGCTGCTGCTGCAATCACTGCCGATGCGGATGCGTCTGTCTCGGTGCGACAGCACTCGCCGATTGGCAAGCCGTGCGTTGTAAGTGTCGCGGCCCGTTTCCTTCTACGCCAAGCGGCATCCGCATTCAACCCAACTTCGCTTTCGACCAAATCAACATCCTGTCCTGCCATCTGTGCCGACTTTAAAAGCGTCGCCCGCTTCATCGGTCTTGCTATGTGAGAAAACTCCGCATGCTGCCTGAAATGTAATGATCCGTTGAAATTCCGAGACAGCTTCTCTGTGCCAGTCCTTCCTTCTCGACGTGATGCTAGCATGGTGATAGCGATGCGATATTGTATGTTCCCTGGGCTGATACTGATGACGACGACAACGACATTCCATGTGCTTTTGACGAGTCCTTGGCGATTGCTGGATATGGTGAAGAAACTTACCCTTCTTTCGGAGCTCGGGCTTACCCTTCTTGACGGAAGCGACGACCATGTCACCGGCGGCGGCGGCGGGGAGACGGTTAAGACGAGCACCAATGCCGTGGACGGCAATGACGAACAGGTTCTTGGCACCCGAGTTGTCGGCGCAGTTCATGACGGCACCGACTGGCAGAGCCAGGGTCATTCGGAACTTGGTACCAACAGCGGCCTTGGACATCTTGATTCACTGCGAGGGTTGAAGAAGGATGACAATATGGAGAGACGGCGAGGGAATGTTCAGCTGGTTGTTCGAGGTGATGTGATGCGATGTGTGTAAAATGGCAGGGCTCGCAGCTGACGATCCGAGTAGTGGCGCACGTCGAGAAGGGACCAAAAGGCAATTGTATCAAGTGATGTTGTGGCTGATGAGGGTGACGTGAGAGTGGTGGAAGAGTGGACCTTGTGTTGGTTGAGATATGCTGGATCAGACTTTCGTTCTGCCTTTGCACTGAACCGAGCTAGGTGGCCCGATGATTGAATGCGCAGTCCAAAATATCTGCTGTGGGTTGCCCGCTCTCGATGTGTCAGAGCGAGTTTCTCTGGCGCAAATGCAACAGGACGGCGGAGATATCGTTCGTCGAGCCGTATAGATGAGAGATCTGATGACCATGCTAGTCAGATTGTGTGTGCGAGATGCCGATAGAAAGTCGTATGTGCAACGTATGTGAAAAGGCCAATGTTGATGCTGATGACTGCAGCGGTCGTCTGAATGCTGTATATTGCGATGCACTGCTGAACTTCAGGAGCGTGACCCTGCCGTTTGTGTCGAGTATGCTTACCTTGATGGGGTTGGTGGATGGTGATGGTGAGGAGTAGCTACCGTCGAAATCTCGAATTGCAACCACGCATCCGACGACCGCGGACGGCGGCGGCAGCACCTTCTCACTCTGTTGCTTCGTATTCTCAATTTGCTAGCTTTTCCATCCTCAAACTTGCGCTCAACGCCAGCTCGGAGAAAAGCGCCCTACTGCTCAGCCAGCGACTGAATCTGTGTCCGACTCGACGTGAGCTGTACGCACTTTGTGCAACTGAGGGTGCCCCGATTGCGCAGACCGGGACCAACTCTTCCGTGCGTAGATCCGAGCGTCAGTGGTTCAATGGCAAAAGTTGGCAAGAGCAGCTCGGCCGAATTCAAGCAAATCACGTGCTAGTCATCGCTGGCCCTTGTAAAGAGCTGTAACTTTTGACGGTCGAACATATTGTGAGCAAAACTCGATTTAAGGATCGGGAGATGCGAGCCTATTTTAAATACGTTGAATAACAGAAGGGTCTAACAATGTGGAAAGCGCGCTAGGGAATGCTACCTATCACGGCTTAATCCTGCGTACCTCGGGAGATGGTGGCATCTACTCGACTAACTGTGTCGAACCGTTTCGCTTCATGCGAGCCTCAGGCTCTTGAAAGCCGATGGACCGCACACAGGCTCGAACAGTTGGTAACTTGCGCGACGAGTGTGCACAATCAGCATGATTGACGGACGTAGTTGACGAGATCGCGTACGCGATCCGCTCCGAACAATGTGGAGAAGACTGGTCTGGTGCCTGTCGGATGTGATTGCAACTTTTTGGGTTGATGAATGCACGCTGGCTGCTCGTCTGTGGTCCCTGCATGATCTGTCACAGTCGGTAGCGATATCAACCGTGGTCCCGCTCACTTATCTCCTACCTGACCTGAACCCGGTCATACCACGTCCCCTCTCATCTCATCATCATCTCACTCACACTTTTGCACCACCGCTCCATCACTGCACGACACTGTCGACGACATGCTCGAATCGCTCCCGTTGGAACTCCAAGCCTACATCCTCGTCTTCCTACCCGCCCAAACCCTCGTCCGCACGCTCTCGCTCACCAACCACCACTTTCACGACCTCGTCGAAGCACACGTCCAACGCTATTGCTTGCGATACCTCGGCTTGGGCTCTCACTCTACCAATCCGGATGAAGCAGCCGTGCTCGAGTTCGAGGCGCAGAGACCCATCGATACCGTCACTGCCAAGCACACCTTGCAGTTTTCGCACTTTGCAGCCGTATCGCCCAGCTCGTACCATGCCAAGCTACCACCGCTCTCGTCCGCGGCGGTGTTTGAGTTTGCACAGGGGTCAAGTAGTAGGGTAGCCACGGATTCGGAGAGGCTGCGGAGTGGCTTTGGCGTAGGGAGAGGTAGGGGATACTCCGTTTCGGTAAGACCCGAGCGGGCGAGGGTAGGAGGTGGAGGTGGTGGTAGTGGTGGCGGTGCTCAGTACGTAGCTACTCCTTTCCAGCCATTCTTGCCAGGGCTGCATGAAGACGACCAGCGTCGGGCAGCAAATCAGATGGTCGTATCTAGCTCGCTGGACCTCGAAGAGCGAAGGACCGGTAGGCCGGCCTTGTCGCGCAACCCGTCGGCGGCATCGCGCGCGACAAGTCGATCGAGCTCAACCGCTAGCACTTCGAGGGCCAGAGCCATCGCACAGGAGATTGCATCTGCTCCCTTTCCCTTCTTGCGCCACAGCATCGAGGCTGCAAATCGACATCAGATGCATCGCGCCGCTAGCAACAGCTCACAACCCCGCCAGGCAGCGGGTACCACCTACGTCGCCCAACCCCTGGAAGAGCCGCTGGACGCATACGATTGGGCAGGACCACCCGGCACGCGTGCAGCGCCTTCTGGACTATCGTCTTCGCGACTTCCTCGTCGAGCAGCCGATCAACCTGCGTGCTACGCATTCCAACTCGATCCGCTGGATTCCTTCGAGAGCCTCATCCTCACCTTGACTGCTCGACGAAGCGTCGCCGATGCTCAAGCTACCATCTCGGCCATGTTGCGCGGAGAAGACGCATCTGGGGGTGTACGATTGCGATACTCCAAAGCACTAGCAGAAGGAATCGACCGAGTCTTCCGAGACTGGTTCAGACCCAAACCGTCCGCCACAGGTGAACTCGAACCAGATTCCCAATTGCTCGAATTCGACACTCCTTCCTGCACGCTCTCCATCCAACCTCACGCTTCACCTCTCGCCCACGTCACCCATCCGGCGCTCGCCTCCACTTCCTCGCACGACTACCTCTCGCGACCCCCACTCTCGACGCAGTACGCCACCCTGGCGTCCAACGAAAGGGTCGAATTGACCTTCCACTGCAGTTGCATCAAGATCAACGCGGCTAGGTTGTTGGCGACGTTGGAGAGGCTGGAGAGCGATGTACTGGCAAACCAGGCGAGGAGCAGGTTGGCGCTCTCGAGGTTGCCGAGGATCGTAGCGGGTGGGGGCATGAGGATCGCTCCTGGATCCGCATTGGTGAATGCGAATGTGGGGTACTTTATGGTAGGCCAGGCACCTCGGACGGGTGCGTAGGATTGCTTTTGAATCTCGAATAGACACTGTTGGCTCGCTTGACACAGTCCGGTCCTGGGTCGTTGTGATGAATGCATTCTCAAACCGCAACTTGTGTGGTGTACGGATCCATGCTTTCCCCCTCGTGAATGCTACACCCCGCTCTACTGTGCACCAGCACCCTCACCCTCAACCTCCAACTTGGCCAACGACTCGGTCAACTCCTCCATCTGCTTCTTGAGCACCAAATAACTCGCCAACTGTCCATCCACCTCGATCTCCAACTTAGCCTTGTCCTCGGCCAAACTAGCCTTCTTGACCTTCTCCTTCAGCTGCTTCAGCTGTTCACCTTCGAGCGCAACCTTGTGTTCCAGTGCGATCAGTTCCGGGGTCTTGTTCTTCACCTGAGGCTTGCTCGCTTCGAGTTGCTTTTTCGCCGCCTTGGCCGCCTTCATGGCCTGCTTTTTGCTCATCTTCGGAGCTTCCTCCGTCTTGGCTTCGGAGCCGCCGCCGAACTGAACTCGCCAGATCTCTTCCTGCTTGGGATCGATCTGCTTGAACAGGTGAGCGGCTTTGCCGATCTTGTGTCCGGGAAGGAGGTCGAGGTGGAACTGCCCGTCTTCGGGGATGGCGCGTGGTGGCGCGTCGAGCTGCTTCAAGATGGCGTCCGAGGTCTCGGGCATGAATGGATGGATGAGCGACGAGAGCAGCCAGATGAGGTTGAGCGCTACGATCATGACCTCGTCACATCGTGCACGCGACTCGGTGAAGAGGGTGTTGTCAAAGTGCGATTCGACGAGGAAGAGGTTTCCTCGTGCAGACAGGGCCATCATGTGCTGCAATCCAGATCGGATCTTGACCGCTTCCATGGAGGAAATGTATTGACCCAGGATGTGGTTGACGTCGCGTGCAAAGCGGGAGATGACGCTGGAAGATGCGTCGTCCGCCACTTCGCCAGCCGCCTTGACAGGCCCGTCCTTGAACGTTCGCAGCTCCGAATCCGAGGGGATGGCGGGGATGGTGTAGTCATACTTCTTCATGAACGTCAACACACGGTTGCAGAAGTTGCCTAGGTTGGCGAGCAGCTCCGAGTTGTTACGCGCGATAAAGTCGCGCCACGCAAACTGACTGTCTGCCGTCTCGGGACGGTTGGCGAGCAAGTAGTATCGCCACACCGAAGCCGAGAGTCCAAGATCGCGAGCCTTGTCTCCAAAGACACCGATGTTCCTCGACTTGGAAAACTTGCCTCCCTCGTACTGCAAATACTCGGTCGTGTTGATGTGGTGCAGCAGCGTGTAAGGGTCCTTGCTGCCAATGAGACAGGATGGGAAGATGACCGTGTGGAAACGGACATTGTCCTTGCCCATGAACTGGTACAGCTTGACGTTGTCCGGGTTCTTCCACCACTTTTCCCAGTCGTCGGTGTAGTTGGCGGTGATGCTCGGGTATCCGATAGGAGCGTCGAACCACACGTAAAGCACCTTGTCCTCCATGCCCTTGATAGGGACGGGGACACCCCACTTGAGATCACGCGTCAAGCTGAAAGGCTTGAGACCTTCCTTGAACCAGCTCTCGGTGATGAGCTTGCCGTTGGAGCTCCATCCACCCTTCTGCGCCTGCTCCCTAGCCCACTTCTCGGTCAACGGCTGCAGCTCGTCGATGCGGATAAACATGTGCGTCGAGTCCTTCTGAACTGGCGGCGATGAGCACAGCTTGCATCGAGGCTTGACGAGCTCGACAGCGTCGTAGAGCTGACCACACTTGTCGCACTGGTCTCCACGCGCATCATCGTATCCACACCGCGGGCATTCTCCCTCTACGTATCGATCGGCGAGGAAGCGGACGCACTTTTCGCAGAAGAGCTGGGTCATGGTTCGCTCCTCAAGGTAGCCGTTCTTGTGCAATTTAAGGAAGACATCCTGGGCGATCTCGGTCTGCTTGGGAGTGGTGGTGCGGCCAAAGTGGTCAAAGCCGATCTGGAACCATTCGTAGACCTGAGCATGCTGTGCGTGGTACTTGTCGCAAAGTTGCTGCGGTGTCACGCCGTCCTCCAACGCCTTCGTTTCGGTAGCGGTGCCGTATTCGTCGGTACCACAGATGTAGAGGGTGTTGCGATTCCTTGTTCGCGAGTAACGAGCGTAGACGTCTGCGCTCAATGTGGAGCCGATGATGTTGCCGAGATGTGGGACGTTGTTGACGTAGGGAAGCGCAGAGGTGACGAGGATGTTTGGCTCGCCGTCTTTTGGCAAGATCTTTTCGTTCTTACGAGCAGTCTCTGTAGTGACCTTCATGAGCACCGAGGCCGAGTCGTTGTGGGCCCGTGTGTCGGACACGGGCAATGCCACTGGGAAGGGGGACGCCATGATGTCGTGCGCAAACTGCTTGAGATTCCGGAGCAGTGTCTGAGTGTATCGAAGAGAGTCGTGGTGGCTTCTAGATCGAGATGTGAGTCGGTGTAGGCAGTTACGAGACGTGTCGAGGTAACTCGGTTGCTGCCAGGATGTATGTAGGAGTGAAGGAGTGAAGGAGCGAAGGACTGGACAGGCAAAGATACCGGGGCTCGAAGGAGTGACCTTCCAACACGCATTCCCGGAAAAAAGGGCTCAGAAATTGGCGCAGCACTTTAAATTTACTCGGCTCCAGAGCGCGAAGCCGAGCACGAGTCACCCTTCATTTCTCAAGGCTGCAACCAACCAACACTTCGCACGCACCTTGGCTCAATCGTCCGCCGATACCAAAAGCATGCGTACTGTAAGTCTCAAAGGTCTCATTTCTACTCTGTTGAATGCCTCGCTCAACACTGTATGAAGGCACCATGTGTCTATGCAAAGTGTATTATTGTTCGTGCCATAGTAAGCGGCGCAACGGCTGACGTGAATGGTGGGTTGACAAAGCGTCAAAATGGAGTTCTGCTCTTGCTGAAGAACGGTGATGGTACAATATTTACAGAAAGCAAGCGTCGCCGAGACAACACCTTCGAATCATTGCCCCTACAGGGTGAGGTCATGTGCTTATGAGCTGCAGGTGATCATGGCTTCTTGTCGGCCTGATCCGGCTTGTTCTCGGCTGCCGGACCCTCCGATGCCTCAGCTTCAGCCTTCTTTCCTGCATCCAAAAGTCCCCACTCAGCTTCGATCCTCTCGCGAGCTCGAACAACCTTGCTCTGAATGTAGAACGAACCTGCTCCACCGCCCTTCTGTCCCTTGGGTGCAGGTGGGGCGTTGGTTGCAAAGAGGTGGTCGTAGTTCTTGACCATAGCCTCGCGCACCTGATCGAGTATTGACTTGCCCTCGCCCGCTGCTGCACCTGCTGCTGCCGATGCTGAGCCCCCAAGTCCTGCTGCCGAGACGTCCTGCTTGAGGTTAAGGATGAGCTTGGCCTCGTCGAGCGTCATTCGGTGTGTTCTTGTGAGCTGGTCCGAAGGTGATGCGGCTGATCCTGATCCTACACCTGCAGCACCGGCTGCCGAAGCTTCTACTCTGCCTGCCCGCGCATTTCTGCCTGCTTGTCGCCCGGCTTCTAGCAATGCCCTGCCGACGATTTGTGTGCCTACAAAGAGGATCTGTGCCAATGTTTTCGGAAGAGACTGTAGTGCAAAGCAAGAGAAAGACCCGTCAAGTCAGTTGATTCGATCTCTGGAACTGTCGAAGATGATGCGTATGGAGCTAGCTTACCATGCTGAGCCGATGAGAGTCGTGTGACCGGCCACCAATCGTCTGTTATTCCTCGAGAGCAGGATGGATGCTTCCGTCTGAAGTGGAGGTCGGCAGCGGGATGCTGGTCAGATGACGGTAAAGCAGCGATCGCACTGAGTCGAGCAATGAGAGAGCCGAGTGCTAGGAGGACCCAGATGAGATGTGATGCGAGTCCGAAATAGGCTTGACGAAGGGGTCGTGATCGTGTTGTGGAGCTGAGCATGAGATGGTGGCACCGCTGCTTCAAAGGGTCTCAAAAAGCCTGAATCGCTTACCGATGCATGGAATTTCTCGGAAGCGGGCGGCTCTTCGAAAAATTATTCCACCCAGACACGCTTCAAGGCGCACTCTCAGACATCGGGCAGATCCGATTTCGACCTGTTTCCAACTTGTTTGTGAACCTTCCGCATATCCTTGGGACTAGAGACTGACCGTCAAAGCTTTGACACTCATCGCAGCATCACGCATGATACTTGGTGGCTTCGAACAAGACTGTGGACGACAACATGCTTGAAAATGACTAGAATACAAGGGCAGGGTGGATGTAGATGTGATAAAGTATGCGATTCATTCATGCCTTGTTGGCCGAGTTGAGCTGCGTCAGACCGATCTCGACAATGGCAGGGAGCTTGTCAGCGATAGCCTTGGTGCCGGCTGGGAACGGCAGCTTATCAACACCAGGTGCCAAGTAGATCGAGTCTGGCTCCTTGCCAGATAGCGCCTCGCCGGTTGGCAATCGTCCCCTCCTGTACATCTTCTGGCCCTTCCAGCTGGGACGACGAGCATCTTGCAGAGTGACACTGCCGCCTTTGGGACCGGGTACGTTTCCCTTGACATAGATGAGATCCTTCTCAGCGTCGACACGAACAACGAGCAGATTGTGGATGGTGCCGTGCTTGTTTCCGCCCATACGACCGGCCATCTTGGTTCCTGGCCACACACGACCTGGGTCCTGGTTGGCACCGGTCGAACCGTGACTTCGGTGAGAGATTGAGACACCGTGCGATGCTCGCAGACCGTGGAAGCCGTGGCGCTTCATGACACCCTGGAACCCGCGACCTCGTGTGATGGCGCGTACGTCCACCGACTGGCCTGGCACAAAGTGCACCGCCGACAACTCTGTGCCGAGCGGCACGAGGGCATCCGAGCTGACGGGAAACTCGCGGATGATCTTCTTTCCGGTCGAGATGCCAGCCGTTTTGAGGTGGCCCTGGATCTGCTTTGTGACGTGATCCGTCGACTTTGTATCGACTGCGGCGACCTGGAGTGCGGTGTACGTCGACTCGTTCGCATCAGCGCCGAAGCCGATGTGCGCCGAGATCTGGTTTGTATGCACCTGAAGGACGGTTGCTGGAATTCTCTCGCCATTTGGAAGGAAGAAGGACGTCATACCTCGTTTGACAGCGATGAGACCCACGCGCTGCGTGGTGGGTTTCCACTTGAGATCTTCCGATGCCTCTGGTGCTGCTGATGCTGCCTTTGCTTCAGATTCGACCGGCGCTGCTTGCGAAGAGCGAGCTGTTGTGTGTATGAAGGGTCGTGAAGAGGTCGATTGGTGTGCTGTAGGAATGGACCGCGCCAACGCAGGAGCGGCTGTTGCGGCGGCAACTCTGAATGATTGCAAACTGAGGTTGGCAAGTCGCTGTTGCAGCATACGGCCGCCGGCCCTTGAGGTGGAGGCGCACGCTCGCATGATGCTGATAGAATGACCGTGCTGGACTGTTCTTGTGAACTGCGGAGGAAGGCGGGTGGAGAGACAGGTGCTTGATCGCGATCAACAACGGTGTCCAAGCAAAGAGCGAATGAGATTCGTCAAGTCGAGATTTCGACTTTTCTTCGCAAGCCCCTTCTCATGATGACATAAGCCCTTGTCATCGATGCTCAGACCAACTCCAGATGTCACGTACGATCTTACACCTTGGAACGCAATTTTCCGCCGACGTCATCCGCTGAAATCTCAGTCACCATCCGCGGCACCCTTCATTGATCCTCAACGAGGGCTTGCGAGCGCCTTGCGATCGTGGAGCTGTAGCATTGACCTGACGCAGATGGGCAATAACAAGATTGGAAATGGTCTGTGAACTATCTTGCTCAACCTCCTGAGGATGTTGAACGGTACCTCGTGACCATGCAGATCCGGTGGTGCCGAGGATCCGCAGAGCTTGTACGCAGTGTCGTTGCCCAACTGGTCGAAAGTGAGACAAAAATCGCAGAGCCCGACGAGCGTGAAGCTGAAGAGAGAGTCTATTCTGAGACCAAGGCAGGTCGGAGAAACATGAACTGTCTGATGGGCACACCGAGAGCGGCGGTGACGTGGTCTACGGCATCATTGACTGACAGCGAAAAGTGACGACACGTTCTGCGTCACCTGCAGCTGCCCTCGCTATTTTTTCCCTCTCGTGTCCCGCTGCCCCAACAAAGGCGTGTTTACCGCTGTACACGGCAAACTCCCCTGTCATTCTGCCGTGACATGGTGATGCCACCAGACACAAACATATTCGTCATCTCATTCTCATACTGTCGTAGTTCAGCATGATGACGAGGGTCTGGCAGCGTCGACGTCGAAAGTAAGTTGGCATCCGATGTGTGTCACAGGGCTCGAGAGGTTCCTGTTTCTCCCCACGTTTTGCACTCTGCCGAGAGCGGCGAATTTCAGACTATGGAGAACGTGTTTGCGACGTCGATCCTCTTTTGCCTTTCTCCGACAGCCACTCCAGGACCCTTTCGCCCCTGACTTGGCCACAGGGGCTCTCCGTCCGTTCATGAACATGGCGAAGCGTGGATCCTGGCAGCTGTTTTGCTCCTGAAACCGCAGCTGTGCAAGCAGACCCCCAGCATAGCAAGCCGACCGCAGCGGTGTGATGGGGGAACGACCCACTTTCACTGCATGATTTCATTTGGAATTAGACCGTGGTGAGTGAGTCGAGTCTCACACACACACCGCCCTGTACCGGCGCTTTCAGCCCAAATAGAGCTCTAAAAAAAGCTGAAAATCATTTTAACCGTCACAGCCGAGCCACAGTCGATTCGACCCTCATTCTCAACACACAAGCAACACTCTGATGACCCACGCGCAATTCAACCTCAATTCTCCGCTGCTCCACTTCCGCTCAACGTGGCAAAAATAGCCACGGCCTCTCTGAAGCAATGATGACTTTGCACACCTGATCGCACCTCTTCATCCTCGTCATCATCCCATTCCCTCCTCCATATTTGCCCTGCTCTATCTTCAACCATTTCGCAACTTCCTAGGAGAGCTCTTCCCGTACGGCGCTGCCCCGCTCCCGCATCTGGACAGAGTCAACGGCGAGTTCTCCGCTCTGGCCAGCACTTCTTCTCATCGGCGTCTCTGCCGTTCCCGAACTGCGCCGGACATCTGTGAACATGCTTCGCCGCAACCGCGCCACCATAGACTCGACCATGCGATCTCTGCTACGAGAGCGACTCCAGACCTCGATAGATGGTGTCGTCCGTGGTGGGGAATGCTCTCGCAGCGTCGCCAACACCAACTCGCTCCTACGCTCCAGAGCTGGCGTCCTTGCCTTGGTCTGCTGGCTTGCTGCCTACTCGTGCTCTCCACCCGCACCGTCCCACCGTCCTGCCATCACTCGGCCCAGACAGAGTCGACCGGACGCCTCCCGACAAGTTCTCAGCCTAGCTGCTGCGTCGGCACGTCCGAAGCATACGACACACAAAGTCACCAGTGTGCCACGCAAGGCTGCGGTGCTTCGGAGCGTGCACACCTCGGCACGTCCGAGATCAACACACCACCTTCCAACAACATCACAGAACACGAGCTTGTTGACCTCCAAAGCGAATCACGAAGTCCACTCGACAGCCCAGCGCGCTTCTCTCAGCTCTTTGTCCCATCCGCACCCGCGATCCAACCACTGGCTCGATCGTCTCTCGAGCACGCTCTCATCTCTATTAGGAGCCTCCGAACAACGTTCAGAGCGCGAAAAGTCTCGTTCCGATGCGCCACCTCAAGGCAGACATCAACGCTCCCGTAATATCGGACGCATCCACAGTGTGATGCAGGATCCGCAGATCTACGACCCCATCGTGTTGCCACGACATCCGATCGTGCTGTGCCACGGTCTTTACGGCTTTGACGTGCGCGGCCCCTTCCTCGGTCTCGAGATCCACTACTGGGCCAAGACGCTCGACATTCTGCGCAAAAAGATGGGTGTGGAAGTGCTCGTGCACGGTGTCCCGCCCACGGGGTCGATCAAGGAGCGTGCCGAGTCATTGCACGAGTTCTTGATGAGCGATGAAGCAGATGTTCGCGGCAAGAAGCTCAACTTCGTTGCTCACAGTATGGGAGGCCTCGATGTGCGTCACCTTCTGACCCACATTCGACCACGACCAGAGGAGTACGTTCCCGTCAGTCTCACCACCATCAGCACGCCGCACCGCGGAAGCCCGTTCATGGACTGGTGCAACGCCAACATCGGCATCGGGAACGACTACATCGAACAGGCGATCAAAGAAGCCCGTGCGGAGCGTGCTCACCTCGCAGACAGAGACACGCACGGACCTGCTCGCACCACGACCAAGGTACCTTACTCGCTCAAGTCGCCTCTCTTCACCCGACCGAGACCGCTCGATGGTTCGAGCAGCTTGGGCAAGAAGAACCTGCGCAGCGGCAAGGCTGAGGAGGCTCAGCGTGCTGCGTCGGACAACGAGTCTGCCACCGAAGCCTTGTTCTCAGCGGCATCCTCGGTCGTTAATTCTCTCACCCCGGACGGCAAGTCGACCGACACTGCAGCGGAAAAGGTGAAACAGGCGGTCAAGCAAGGCTCCAAAAACGACGGCTCCCTACCGTTCGGTCTGTCGTCCTTCATCGGTTCGCTCTCCACCCTCACCGGCTCGTTCAGCTCGTACATGCTCTCGCTGCTCGACACTCCCGCATACGCCATGCTGTCCACCAAGTACATGAACGAGGTCTTCAACCCCAAGACACCCAACGTCGACGGTGTCAAGTACTACAGCGTCGCCTCGCGTACGCCCAGTCTGGCGATCTGGCATCCGCTGTGGCTGCCCAAGCTGATCTTGGATGCTGCCGCCGAGTCGAGGACTGCGGGCGGCGAGATCGACGGCAGTGCGGATGCGCTCGGTGGAGCGGATCAGGGCAACGACGGGCTGGTGAGCGTCGAGAGTGCTAAGTGGGGCGAGTTCCTGGGCGTGATGGAGGGATGTGATCATTGGGACTTGCGAGGTGGGGGTGCGCCGCGGTGGAAGCAGAACATCAATCCGAGTACCGGAAGGCCGTATCCGAACAAGGTTTCGGGCTCGGACGAAGCTGTAGCTACGGTTGCTGCGGCTGGGGATGCGAAGCAGAGTGAGGAGTCGAGTTCGAACAGTTGGACGGACATCAATCGGTTGCTGTTCACAAAGTCGACGGATGGTGTCGATTCGAACGAGAAGCCGATGACGGCGTTCAGATCGTTCAAAGAGTTGGCGGAATCGGAAGGCTGGAACGGCGTTTCGTTGCGCGATCCCGACACCGCCGAAGAGAGCGGTGACGCTGTAGAGAGCAGCAAGGACGACGAAGGAGAGAACACGGCACTCTCGTCCTTCCACCCGCAGCATCAGGACGACACACTCGTGCACGAGATCGCCAGCTGGATCTCGGATCGCCTGCCGTCGGGAAACGCCGAGAGGAGGGCGATGGCTCAAGAACGTGACAAGTTGATCGAGCAATCCGGATTGACCTTGTACAATCCACCGAACACTTCTGTCCAGGACAGCGGCAACGGTGGTAGGAACGAAACGGTCGATGGTGGTGTCTCGACCAATGGGTTGACGGATTTCTCGACCAACGCCACGTTGCGATCGTCGGTGACGCCTGCATCGGCATCGTTTTCGACGCAGCAAGTGGCATCGGCTGCTTCAGCAGCGATTTCTCACGTCGTCGGGAAACAGGACATTGACGAATCGCAAAGGGGCGCGGAGAAGATGGAGTCCAAGAGTAGGTCCAACAAGGAGATTCCGGAGTTGGAACGGTTCTGGATCGCCTTGTGTCGACATTTGCACAACGAGGGTCTTTAGAACTCCCTTAATATACATTGCATTGCATTGCTTGAATTGAACATTCCTTTCAGACCCTTTTCGTGATACGAGTGTGCAGCGTGCGACAGGACAGCGATTGATTTGTGTGTTGAGACGCAGACGTCGGAAGGAAACAGAGAGCTCGAGATGAGAAAGAGGTGGTGGTCGCTAGAAGAGGCGCTCTGCGGGGGTCGTTTCATCACAGCGGTTCGTGGAAGTGCACTAGGTTTCTGTGAGCTGATTCACGCCGAGAGATACCAAGCTCGGCATGACCCTCCGAGCTTGACATCATGAGGGGAAAGGCAAACATGTGACTGCCTGCGAAACGCGATTGCGCGACGAGAACGGAAGTCGTCCGACAGCCGACGCATGAGATGCTCATTGGAATACACGGTGCTCAGATTTCACCCACCACTCATTCAAACTCGACAGACGGAGCCCAGGTAGACTGGCTTTTCAGTGGATCGTATATTTGGCAGGGCGGCGTTTTAAACGAGCAAGACGTTCAAAAAAGCTGAAAGAAAGCTGCTGTAAAGATCAGAGAAGGAGGGTGGTCTCGGCGACGATACCAGTGACAAGGTAAGGGTCGCAGTTGGAGGCGGGACGCCTGTCCTCGAGGTAACCGTAGCCTTGCGCGGCAACGTGACGGGGGATACGGATCGAAGCACCACGGTTGGCGACACCGGACGAGAAGTCGCCAATGTGGCCGGTCTCGTGCTTACCAGTGAGACGCTTGTCGTTGTCGGCACCGTAGACGGCAATGTGCTCGTTGTGGCGCTTGGCGAGCTTCTCGATGGCAGCCTCGATGGCCTTCATGCCGCCCTCCTTTCGCATCGATTCGGTCGAGTAGTTGGTGTGGCATCCGGCACCGTTCCAGTCACCGGGGACAGCCTTGGGGTGGAGCGAGACCTTGACACCCCACTCCTCGGCGACTCGGATGAGGAGGTAGCGGGCGAGGGTGAGGTGGTCACCCATCTCGATGCCGAGGCAAGGACCGACCTGGAACTCCCACTGGGCGGGCATGACCTCGGCGTTGATACCCGAGATGTTGACACCCGCGTAGAGGCAGGCACGGTAGTGGGCCTCGACCAGGTCACGGGCAAAGACCTTGCCAGCACCGGCACCACAGTAGTAAGGACCCTGAGGGCCGGGGAAACCGCCCTTGGGCCATCCGTACGGGCGGTCGTCCATGTCAAAGAGCGAGTACTCCTGCTCGAGACCGAACCAGGGCTTCTCGGCGGCGACCTGGGTCATGATCTTGTTGCACTGGTATCGGTAGTTGGACTTGTTGGGGGTGCCATCGTTGTTGTAGCACTCGGCGAGGACGATGACGTTGTCACCACGACGGAAAGGGTCAGGGTAGTAGGCGACGGGGCGGAGGTAGACATCCGAGTTGCCGCCGGGGGCCTGGTTGGTGGAGGAGCCGTCAAAGTTCCATTCCTTCAGGTCTTTGAGCGACTTGACGGGGCCGTCGAGGGTGGTGGTCTTACCGCGGAGCTCACCATCGCCGTCGATCCAGATGTACTCGGCCTGGACCTTTCCGCGCTGGTCTAGCTCGAAGTAAGGGTTGACGAGACCTGTTGATCGCATCGAGCAGAGCAAGAGGGGAAGCAGAGATGAAGACAACAACGTCAGAAAAGGCTCTCTTTCACGAAAAGACGAAGTGCGGCAGCGACAAAAGCGTGTGAGGCTGACAGACAAGTCCGTGGATCCTCGACTGTCGCCGCCTGTAGCGGGTGCGTCGTAGCATGGAGTAGGAGCGATCGAGTCGAGCTCCAGCAAAGAGCTGCTCCTCGGTGTTCCTGCTCGCTTGACCAAGACGACCCGTGAGCAGACGGCGACCAGACGCAGAACACAGCGAGCGTTCACAGAGAGCAAACAATCTGGCACAAGACTGTCTGCTTGTGTTCTGTCTGCTGTTCTCAGCGGCTCGCGGTATCATGGCCAAAGATGGTTTCCATCTAAAATCGGGGCTAGCTGCAACGAGAGACGATAGGCGGAGAGAGGCTACGTACCAGGGTTCTTGGTGAAGGGGACAGCCATTGTGAATGAAGGATCGTTAGACAGAAAACGTCTACAACAAGATGACGATCAAGGGAAGGGGTAAGGGTGATGGTGGAAGCAGAAGATTAGGAATGATGAAAGCTGTCGAGTAGATAATTTAGGACGTACAGCGAGGGCAAGCTGGAGGGAGAAGTTGGACGGACGAGCGATGATGATTATTGTGCTCTCACTGAATCACTCACCGTTTGCTCCGCTGCTGCTGATAACGCACTGCAGCTCAAGTCAGGACTGACGCACAGGCACCATACGCAGAGGAAAACCACTCGGCGGGAGAGAGATAGTGAGCCGATTGCGATTGAGCGTTTGGCCGGACCGTTGCGGTGGGGCTTCGGGGCCTGGAGCGACGAGGCGATGAAGCGAATCAACAGCCAAACCGCTTCCACGGGCGAGCGGGCCATCTCCAGTGAGATTGGGGCTCGTTTGGCTCGTCAACCCAAAGGCTGCGTCAGGTTATGCGCCGCCAAGTTCGCTCAACCGCAACCAATTTGCAGTAGTCGAACGCCGCCAACCTCCATGTCAAAGTTGGAATTTCAGTAAAATTTCAATATTCAGGTCCAGCAGGAGTAATTCTTGTTTGACCAGGGCGGTGTTGGATTGCGTCGATCCAGTAGCTCACTCGTGTGAGATGGTTCCTCAGCGTGGGGCGGTGACCTACAGCAGCTCAATTGCTCCGCCCAGGGTTCCCCGTCTTGCCAGACGTGGCTTGAGCTTTTAGCCCTACGCCCATGTCAACTGGTCGTTCCTCAGCGGGGAAGCTCGTCTTCTCGGCTGACTGCCGACACCTCAGCCTCCCCTCTATCAAATGGCCCCTTCTTTCAAACTCTAATTCTGGCGTGGATCCGCCTTTTGCCTTTTTTTTCGCCAATGTGACCGATGACGCAGTACAACAATGGCAGCTGCCCCTCGCGGATCACTCCAAGCAGGCGAGCGACTTTGCGGGTCTGCTGTGTGTCGCCTGGACTGGCTTCCGATAGCACCGCCTACACTTTGGCAAGTCAAAGTTGGCGTGGATAGTCATCGTCGACACGCACGCAAAGGTCACACGGCTTCATGAGCACCGGTCAAGGGTAGGCTGGGCAGAGACACCCCACACGCTATCGGAGCTCTTTCGGCGGTCGAGGAAACCGGTTGCTGTTGCTGTGGGGGCGTTTCCGACCAAAGTTTGGCGCACGAATCACATCGCAGATATTGATGAGACAGAGTTGGCAAATTGCAATCCTGTTCCTGTCCCGGCTTCTGCCTCTTAGCGGACTGCAAAGGGAACAAAGTGCAACCATCGCTTTGCTCGATTGCCTTGCTCGCGTCTAGAACCAGACGGTGACCCACGTTGCTCGCTAGATTGATATGATGACGATGAACCTCCCCGACATCGGATGGGCAAGATAGATAAAGGCCTCGACCCGTTCCTAGCGAGAAGGTGATAAGTTCGCGAACAGATAGATTGGAGGCAGCACAATCTAGGAAAGGCCAGCTTCCTTCTGTTTCGGCCATTCACACCGGCTGATCTACCGACCAACTTTCCCGCTCATTTCCGTGCTGAGATTTGGCGCCTGAAACCCATACGGCACAACAGAAAGTCGACCATCTGATCTGAATTGCGGCTTTTTTGTGAGACGACCCCCCCTTTCTTCCAGCGACTGATGATACTTTCTTCGCGCATACCCTCGTTGCTGACTTGGACTCACTCTACAGCTGGCTTGTCGAAAAGGCCGACGAGTCTGTTGCTTTAGCATTGATATCTATCTGGAATTCCTCGTCATGATGCGATTTTCGCTCGACACGGAAGCTCTCTGAGCTTGCTGTCTGCTCGACCTAGGAACCAAGCCACCTATTCACATGGCTGATAGTTTCAGGTAGGCGAATGGAGACGTCTCGATTGCAGCTGATCGTTCTGAAGCGGCTGCAATCCGCAAGGTCACCAAAGCGCGATCGCTGATTGGTTCGTTTTAGCATCTCTTATCTCTTTTTTTTCGCCCTTCCTTCCTGCACGGCGCTGCAGCATCGCACTCTCCGACGAGCGCTCTCCTCTTCGAGAATCTTTGCGTCTCTGGCCCGCCGACTGTTTTCGAGTCACAGACCAATTGAGATGCTTAGCCTGACGCAGATTTCAGAGGTGGTCCGACCGTTCTTCTTGTCGTGTGTCAGGAAGAATACGGGGAGAGCGAGATTAGATCGTTCGGTCGAGTTTCCTATCCATTCCGCATCCATTATTCCATCTAACACAATACGCGATCTCACATCTCATTGGATTCATTTTGTAAGCTCACCGCTAGCTCGGTTTAACAACGGAAACTCAAGATTCAAATCGGCCGTAACTGTCCATCTCGTCTCAACCCGAGAAAAAACGTGCAACGAATCGGAACCGCACGGTTTGTCGAAGAGCCAATTTCGAGGCAGCAACAGCGCAGCAAGGGTCGCAACGGCTCGCAGATCTTCTCGGCGCCTGTTGGTCATCATCGTTGTTGTTGATCGCTACCACCACCACCTCACCTTCCCCAGCCACATATCGCCCAACATGCGCCCTACTCCCATCTCGTACCGCGCAAAGCCTGCGTTCCAGCCTCACGTCGGCCGATTGTAAGTATCCAGCCGTCGATGCATCGCGAAGGGCAGAGTACGATCGATAGCGTGGATTCGACCGCGAATGGGAAACTTGCAGCTTGATGGCTTGCCTGGACAGCGACGCGACGTCGTAGCACCGGAGAATTGCGGCTCAATGGAGGAGCAGGAGAGCAACAGCTTCATTCAATGCGATTCGGAAACGCAAGACAAACCTATTCGCAGATCTTGGCAACCACTTCGAGCTGCGATCAGGACGCCGTTGGATCTAGACTCGATCCGTAGCTGCATCCACGCCCAGCGTCTTCTCGCGCTCTGTCCATCATCACAGCAGCTCTTCACATCCATTGTCCACTCGATGGTATCCTTTTTACTGACTGTGTTCTGAACCTCCACTCTGCCCCCTCCCTTGCAACTTCATGCAATCATCTCGAACCACCTCCCTCGTCTTTCCCAATTGTCGTCCAACCAGCACCCCAACGGCGGTCTTCAAGTGGGCACCATCCCTCGCACTCTGGGGCGGTGCAGGCGCCGGCGCCGTCATGCTATTCATGTCGAGCGTACCCCTCTTCAAGAAGGACGTCCTGCTCAAGCTTCCTGTTGTACGTTGTTTTCGCTTTTCGCCTTTTTGATTCTTTCTCTTCGAGCTTCGGTCTGACTGTAGCTTGCTTTTGTCTTTCACAATGATAACAGGTCGCAACTTACTTTGAGGACAAGACTCACCCCGCGGACAACGCTTTCTAAGCGTTGGCAGCAGCATCGGGAAGACAAACCAGCTTGTTCCAAGTCGCCTCTTTTTGCAATCACATGATACAGAAACCAGACGTTTGCTCTGCCATAGCGACATTGATCCGATCCCGTTTCGCTTCACTCACCATCGACACACGCACAGCAGCACAAACAGCAGACAAAACAAACATTAAAATGCATTGACGACACCACCAACCCACCGCTGGCTCGCTCGCCTCCCAGCGCTGCTCTACATCCAGCTGAACTCGGGAACCTCCAAAAAGCTCTGCAACCAAGTCCAATCCACCGGCGTCGATGTACCCGTTGCCCCCGTCGGCGTTGCCGTACCTCCTCCCGCCGCTGCTGCCGGTAGCACATTCCCACCCTGCGGTGGTGTTGCATATCCAAATTCTCCTCCCACTGCTCCTGGATATCCACCCATCCCCGTCGCCGACCCACCACCTGCACCATGTGAATGATACTGCTGCTGCTGCTGCTGCTGTTGGTGCTGCTGCTGGTGGTTCGCATGACTCAACGGAGAATTCGGCCCTCCACCACCGGCAGCGAAGTGACCGAACATGCCTGAACTGATGAAGCTTCCCGGTGAGAATCCCGGCGGAGTCGATCCCGACGCACCTCCTCCTCCTCCTGCAACGCGAGACAGAGGATGCGTGCCGTAGTAGCTCGTCGCTCCGTTGAAGAGTTTGCCGCTGGCGACGGGCGAGGTCGTCTCGCCGTTCGGGGGGTCGGGCTCTGCGGAACCGTCGGCGGTGCTGTGTAGATTCAGCAGCGTTTCCGCGGCGGATGTGTCCATGGTGGAGTTTCCGACGTGGTGCGGTCGATGCGGGTGGTGGTGGTGAGAAGTGTGTTGATGGGGTGCGTGAGAGGAGGATGAGTTGAGTTGGGATTGGAGTGCTCGTGATGATGCAGGGCCGGTAGAACTGGCCCTCTCCACACCAGCATCGCCGACTCCATCCTGCACCACACCTCTTGACCCCGTCTCCTCCTCCTCGCCCATCCCCGCCGATTGATCCAGCATACTCCTCGACCTCTTCGTCCCCGCCACCACATTCGAACCACCCATCGCCGACCGCCCCACCCTCGAGCCCCCTCTCTCTCCCTCCTGACTCTCCCCCTCAATCACATTCAGCAGCGAATCAAAGTACTGCGCACACAACCCCACATGATCATCCCCCCTCACCTGCGCCACCCTGAAACTCTCCCTCGTGTCCCTCATCAACTCCAGACACTTGCGCTCGTACTCCTTCCTCCTCCGAATCCGAGTTTTGACCTTGGCGTATTCGTAGCTGAGCCTCGACTCCGCCGCTGCTGCGCTGGAAGCAAAGGCCGGCGGTACCGATGGCAACGGCAGCGAGATGAGGTACGTGGCGAGCAGCGCGGCGTGCGGGGCGAGGACCATGATCATGTCCTGAGCGTGTCGTAGGATCGATGGTGGCATCTGCATGGTGTGCACCAGCAGGTTGAGCGCCGAATCGAGGCAGGTGTAGTAGATCTGCTCGGCACGGTCGTCCATCGCGGATAAAGCGGACGGTGAAAAGGCGGAGGAAGAAGCTCCACCACCACCAGCGCTGCTCGACTTGCCCGATGCCGCGCTCGGTTTGACCTTGTTGATATCCCTCAACGATGCACGGAATGCGATACTCGAGATCTGCATCACCAGACTGCTGCGCATCACCTTCAACAGATGCATCCTTGCATCCAGCGGAAGGTGACCTGCAAAGTCTTCCTTCTCTGTCTTCGCAACATTCTCTTCCTCCTCTGCACCCCTCGTCTGTCTCTCTTCGGATGCGTCGCGTCTGAACCTCTGATCAATCTTCCTCGCCTGCAACTCCCACCTACTCGTCCACCCCTCCAGTTCATCCATAAAGCTCTGCAACAACAAGAAGCACTCGCTGCCGCCGTACAGCGTGTCCTTCTCTTGCGTCTGCGCGCGCTCCATGATCGACTTGTACTTGGTCTGCAGCAGGACCGAGTCGATATCCGCACACAGCAGGATGTCGTCCTCGGTAGCCAGCGCGTCGTCGGCCCAGGCCAGCAGGTTCCGCAGCAGGCTCGGTCCGCGGTCGAAGTTGGGTCGAGGTGCAAAGTGAAGCAGATGCGTGTGTTCTTGGATGAAGTGGAAGAGGAACTGACGCTGCTGATTTCGTCGTAGTCTCTGTTGCTGGAGGGTGGCAGCGGAAGTGACGTCGTCGTTGGGTTTGGCGGTGGATTTGGAACGGGATGCGGAGCCGGAGCTGGAAGAAGGCAGGAGTGAGAGGAGTTCGGTCGGGATATCGCTCATAATCTTGGCGGCGTAGCTGCAGTACAAGATCGTGAAATGATCATCCGCCTCCTTCCACACCGACGAGAGGTACATAGCTACGCCCGTCTCCATCCTCCGATCGCCCATCGCAAACGCCGTGATCGCCAGACTGCGTACATGACTTCCAAGTCGAGCCGAAATCGTCGCCGTCACCCTATCGTCATCGGGACGCGGTCTCGCAAACGTCGCTCCGTAAAACGCAGATGCTTCCGCACTCGTCTCGTCGACCTCCGCCAGCTCGATATACCTCGATGCCAGATAGAGTATCGTCGAGTAGAGGAACGACGAGGAGACGCGTACCGCATCGTGCGAAACAAAGCACGGGTCAAAGTTCATCCCCCACGGATTGAGATGCTCAAAGTAGTACGCGTAGAGCCGATGCGCAGCCGCCATGGACAGGATGCCGACATCGACGGGATCCTTGGATCCGAAGAGGTTGAGTGTCTCCGGTAAGCGTGGATAGCGGGCGGTGACGGCGGAAGCCGCTTCTTCGGCTGCGGTTGTGGCTCCTGCTCGCTTGTCGACAGGGCGTAGGAGGTTGCGGAACGTGGATGCGAAGTGCTGCGATGGAGCAGAGGCTGTCTGCGATGAAGCGTTGGCAGCCGCGGAGGCGTGTGCGGACGCGTCTTCCGCTTTGACCCTGCCCTGTCGATCTGCGTCTCCATCTTTGCCGTCTGTGGGAGAGAATGCGCGGGGCGACAACGCTCTCTTGCTACCGGAAGAGCTTGCCTTGCCGCTGCTCGATTTGGACGTGGAGGCTTGCAGGTTGTCGTGAGCTACCTCGCCCTTGCTGACAAAGGTGTACGTTGAGCCGCGCTGCGGAATCTTTTGCGCAAGCATCTCCCAGATCCTTCGACGAGCGTTTGTGTCGAGTTCGTGGAGACTGTTCGCAGCCCTTTGCAGTCTGGCTTTGCTGCTTGAACGACTTCCACCAGGTCTCACGGCGATAGACTCTCTACCTTTCCTCTGATTCGATTCTCCAGCGACAGCGTTGGCATCGTGATCTCGTGACAGCACACGTGCGGCGTCCGATCTCTCGGCAGCATAGTCATCATCGTCATTGGCTGCACCTGCATCCACTTTGACAATGCTATCCTCGTTGGCCGAATCGCTGTCATGATCCGTCGCCATATCATCATCGGATGCACCGAACCTGGACGATCCTACACCCAGATCCACGTCATCCGCATCCATAGAGGCCAGCTTCGAAACCGGCTTCCGTCCTCGATGGTGCCGCACAAACCGGCACTCGAACGAGAACTTGGCACAGCGATCGCACACATCCTGGCTATCGGTGACGCGGCATTTGGTCTTTGCGAGCCTGCACTCGAGGCAGGCACGGCTGCTCCTACGCTTTTCGGCCTTGTCGACGTTCATGTTGGATTTGCGTCGCGACGGCGGCGGAGTCGATGCAGAAGTCGAGGGCTTGTTCGGGTTGCTGCTGCCAAGTTTGCTCGGTTTGGAAGGGGAAGCATAGCGAGATGAGGGGTGGTCGTGCCGTCCGTTCTGATCGTACAGCTCGGTACTGTACTCCTTTGTGTGAGCTCGGGATGGCGAAGTGGCGGTCCTTGCTGCCGCTGCTGGCGATGCAGGCACAATGTTGTTCAAAGTGGTGGCGGTCGATGATGGTCCAGGGCGTCTTGACTGGGTCGGACCGGAGGCGGTAGCAGAAGAAGAAGAAGCGGTCATGGCTGACAGCCGAGCTTTTTTCTTGCCGATAGCAACAGCAGAACTGCAGCTTCGGGAGGCTGTGAGAGAGCCAGAAGTTCGGATTCACCTTGTGGAGGAACGATAGCCCCACTGCAGTTGTGTCTACCGCCAAAGTGACTTGGCTGGCGACTAGACCGGGAAGATGTCGAGCAGCGTGGTGCAGATTTGATCCGTCCTGCTTCCAATAATCACGCTGGCCGTTGCTTCCTGCACCCCGCACTCTCGAGGCAGCGTCTATCGAGTCGTGTGCATCCGAAGCCAATATCAGCTACGTTGATAAGCCGTTGACTGGTGTCCGTTAAAACTGTCCAAATGCTGAGCGAGACGATGTCGATACGGGAACAAGACCGGAAGAGCCGACTGTCAACGGATCTGTTGCAATTCTTCGAACCCTGTTTTTTACGACTTTTTTTTTTCCTTGCCTTGCTCAGCTCGACCAAGGAAAGGCAGCGTGACATATCGACTCTGCTGCCTTCTTCTTCTCATTCTCACCTTGCCAAAAAGAATTCGCTCCCGAACTGTTAGCCGGAATCCAGAATATTGGAGAACAAATGTTAAGTCGAGTGAAGCGGGACCGCACACGACGTTGTCATCTGCTGTCATGACCCTGTATATGAACTTGAGGGGTTCACAGTTTCATTGCAGTCGGCTCTCGCCGTAGCCTCTCTCAGATCACATTCGTGGAGACGAGAGATGGGCTGATGGATGATATGACTATTCAGAACAATAAAGTGACGCGCAGAACGAACCTGATGAGAGAAGATGCTAAACAGTGTGTGCTAAGTGATGATGATGCAAAGCGATACGATCACAGACGACTCGAGCTGTCGTTGGCGCAGCAAGCGCAGATTTGCGGATGCGAAGGAGCAGCCGATGACGAGCCGGACGCCTTAGAGGGAGCAGACAAGCTGATCCCCTGTCTTGGTTGAGGCACCGTGACAGACTTCTTGCTCGAGCAGCAGCCACCCGCCGCCGCAGCAGCAGCAGCAGCATTCCCGCTCGAGGCAGGAGCCGCCGGATTCGCCTTTACATCCAGCTGCGGCTTGCCCTCATTCTCGCCAAACGCACTCCTCGAGAAAGGATCGTTGAGGGCGGGCAGATCCTGCGCCGGGTTGAAGTCGAAGAAGTTGGCGGGCTTGAGCCAGACGTTGAGATGCTCCACCGGCATCACCGGGAACTGCTCCGCATGAGGGATGTGTGTGATACCGTAGATGGCGTGCACAGTGATCTCCTCGTCGTCCACCTTGTTCTTCTCATTCGCCCAGTGTCCCAACGAATCCGGTGCGGTGCCACGCTGCTGGGGGACGTACTTGCCCGCGGGCCACAGCTGCTCTTCGTTGAACTTGGTCACCCAGAGCGCGTGCTTGGTGAACTCGGCACGCTGAGCCACCATCGAGTCGTTCTGCAGCGCCAAGGGCTCCCAGTCCCGCGTGTGGATCTTGTATCCGACGGGTAGACCTGCAGCGTAGTGCTGCTTCGCCGTGTTGTAGATCGCCCAGGTTCGGTGTCGAGACCAATCCCAGTCGTAACCGCCGGAAACGTTGATGGGTGTCTTGACCGTGACGAACCCGTTGCCGAGATAGTTGCTTTCCGATCCCGTAGGTGCGCGTGTCGGCTCGCAGTCGGTTTGGATGACCGTGTTCTCGCAGCCGTCCACCATGGGATCGATCTTGAGAGCAAATAGATGCTGGTGGTAGTGCGCGTTGACCTGAGGTGCAACCTCGACACCGTACGGGTTGGGCTCATCGCGGTCCTTGACGTAGAGGTTCAGGATACCCGAAAGCTTGGTTTCGAGCTGGATGCTACCATCCGTGTGGAACATGTAGGCAAAGATGTACTCGTAGTTGGCGATGGTGCAGATCATCTGCACCACGAGCTTTCGCCCACGAGCCGAACGCACCTTTCCACCAGGTCGGTAGTCGGTGTGCTTCCATGCGATTCCTGCGTCCTCTTCGTGGATGCAAATGGCATTCTCCACCGCAGTAGGCGTGCCATCAAGGGCGACGTAGTGACCATCAAGGTAGTGGATGGTGCCGAGGCAGTCGCATCCGAGCTTGAGACTGTTGGCGAGCGTACCCATGCCGTACTCTCCCACGTCAAAGGCGAACTTGCGAGGGTGAGGGTGCTCGGTGGAAGCGTAAGGTACCACCATTTCAGCAACCGACATGCGATAGACAATCGGGCGGACGTTGCCCTTGTCGTTGTAGCTGATGGTGGAGAGAACAAGGCCATCACGAGGGTGGAAGCCGATGTGCATCTTCCACTTCTGCCATTCGAGCTCATTGCCGTTGAGCTTGAAGCTCACACCTTCAGGTTGCACAACGTGAAGAGGCTTGAGGTCGGTTCGAAGCGCAGGCATCTTAGGGTCGAGAGCCATGAGCTCGGGCAGATAGTCGAACGACTCCATAGGAGGGGGGATACGTTTGCGACCGGAGTACGCCAGTGCCGCGTCGCCATCCATGGTGACCGGACCGGGCTTGGTGGTTCCATTCGGTGTGGAGAGCTTGCCGGTGATGGGATCGCGATGACCGGGGAAGTCGATAGCGATGACCTTGCCAGCATTGCAGTCAATGACGGGGTAGAAGTCCATGGGATGAGCATAGAGGTTCTCGTGTTCGCTCTTTCGGGCGTAGACGAGGCATTGCTGAATGCGAATGCTCTTGTCGAATCGGTCGTCGTATCCGAGCGACCAACCGTCGGCCCACATGTTCTCGGGCTCGATGCCGACCTCTCGAGCGATGGCGACGATGCGCGGGTCGGCGCGCATGATGTTTTCGGCCTCGTTGACCTCCTCTGGAGTCAGACTGGGCTGCACACCAATGTCGAGCTTCTTGATGCTCTCGACTTTGCCGAGGGCATCGGCGGTGGCAGGTGCGTACTTGCCATCCCGACCTGGAAGAGGCAGGTCGTTTGCAATAGCAACGTTGACCTCGTAGGTATCGCCAGTGACGACATCGATCAGCTGCACCTCTGCCCGTCGGTTGAGCAGCTGCAAAGCCTTGCGGTCATCGAGCTTGGTGCCGCGAGGGAGCGGAAGACCGAGCGCGTAGAGCACGGCAGCCTTGACGGGCGGAATGAGGAGCGAGCTGCAGAACTTGACGGCTTTGACCGAAGTGCGGGCAGCAAAGTGGCTTCGCACGATGAGCGAAACAGCGGCGATCTCCTGAGCGGTCAAGGGATCGAGAGGGTGGTGGTCAAGCTGCAGACCGGTTCGGCGAGCGGCGCCCGAAGGATTGAAGGAATCAGATTGAGTGGACGACATCATGGCAAGTTTTTTGAGACGGCCGGCAGTGTCATACAGATACACCAGATAAGATCAGATAGAGCTGCAAGCGCGGAGTTAGGGGCTCGTGGCGAGGGGACAATCAGTAAACGTTGATGAGGTGTTTTCGCCTGCTTGTATGCGTTGCACGTGCTTGTGGACAAAGTGCACTTGGATCGAGAGAGCTTGATTTGAGGAGAGGGGGAGGGAGAAAAAACGGACGAGGGTTGAGGGTGAGGTTGAGGGATTATATGTCGAGTGCACTTGGCGACATCCGGCGCTGGCTAGATAGCGGCGGACGACTGCGAGGCACGGGGCTGAGGCAAGAAGGGAAAAGCACAGTGGCATGTACAGCTTCTAGCGTGGGAGAGCTAACAAATCCGAGGGCAAAAGTAGCTCACGATAGCAACATGCACTAACCAAGGACCACCCCAAGGGATCTAGACGAGCGTATCGCGTGCCAAGATGGAATGCGCACCCGAGGAACCGGGCAAAATGACCGCGGAGAAAGCTCTCGAGCTTAACGAGGTAGCGGCAATTTGCGGTCCACCACGTCAGCAAGTATGCAAAGGGAAGGAACAGCTGACAGTGAGCCAAGAGGAGGAAGTGAAAGCACCTAGGCTTGCGGCTGGTACTGCAAGACACATGATCAAATTGCCATACCTGGCCAGAGTGGGGGGCAAAGGCTTATCGCGGCGAGCATTGTTCTGGACTGCAAGGCAACCGCCGTACGCTCATCAGACGGGCGTCGCCGGTGCTTTGCGAAATGTGGGACATCGGCTCTCGACTTTTCTTGGACGGCGACTTTACCGGAAGTGTATCGTCCAACGCTCAAAAGAGACGACGTGATAAGCACTCACCTTTTCGAGCCGAGGCCGGCTTAACTTGGAGCAGACAAACCCAAAGAGGGTCTATCGAGACAGCAGCGGACCATAGCTTCGTTAAGGAACAGTTGCTTAACGAGGTGGCACGAGAGCAGTGTAATTGACTCCGTGACCTTGCATAGAGATAAGACAGGCGGAACAGGACTGAACTTCTTTTTCGTAATATATTTTATTTTATATCATCGCTGTGGGGAAGAGACAGGCTCCAGTCGTCACTTGACTTTATCTCGATGCTAGTGGGCACGGAGCGGTTGGCGATTCGAGCGGCAGAGTTGAATTTGATCTTGGCATCACGCCGGTGCCAGGATGTATGTGTTCATAGCAAGAAAACTGAATTGGAATGGCCATGTGACACGAAGGCTGAGCTCAAGAGTTGTGACTGCGAAAAGGTGCCGCTCAGCTAAGAATCCATCTAATGAGTTTCTCAGCCTGATTGTTCTTTCATCCGAAACTTCACTATCACTCGGATCTTACAAAAGAAGATACTTATCCTCTAGCCTTTCCTTTGCGACCACCAATACGACTGCTGCAACGAGGAGCTGCTTGCGACATCATGAACACATCACAAGCTACCTCCAGCCGGGCTCCGGAGCCGGTCACCATCTCGACGCCTACGGGCAACAAGTGGCAGGTCCCCTCCGGAATCTTCATCAACAATGGCTTCCACGCTTCTGCCTCTGGCAAGACATTCGATTCTGTCAATCCAGCCACCGGTGAAAAGCTGTGCACGCTCTCCCTCGGTGGTGCCGCCGACATCGAAGCAGCTGTGAAAGCAGCCCGAACCGCGTTCAACACAGTGTGGGGCAGAAAGTCGACACCCACCCAGCGCTCGCAGTTGTTGATCAAGTTTGCCGATCTTGTCGACAAACACCTCGACGAGCTGGCCGAGCTCGAAAGCATGGACAACGGCAAGCCAGTCTGGATGGCGAGCAGCTTCGACGTTCCCGACTCGGCGGGTTGTTTGCGTTACTACGGCGGTCTGGCAGACAAGATCGAGGGCAAGACCATCGAGCAGACGGAGGGAGAAAAGATCGCCTACACACGCATCGAGCCGCTCGGCATCTGCGGACAGATCATCCCATGGAACTATCCTATCCAGATGGCAGCGTGGAAGTTGGGACCTGCTCTGGCGGCTGGTAATTGTGTCATCTTGAAGCCTGCCGAGCAGACACCTTTGACAGCGCTCAAGCTGGCACAGCTGTCGGTTGAGGCTGGTTTCCCACCGGGCGTGATCTCTGTTGTCAACGGATACGGCGCCGAGGTAGGCGAAGCAATCTCGAGACACATGGACATCCAAAAGGTAGCTTTCACCGGCTCCACAGCCACCGGCAAACGGATCATGAAGGCTGCTGCCGAGAGCAACATGAAGAAAGTGACGCTCGAGCTGGGTGGAAAGTCGCCCGTGGTCGTCTTCGAAAGCGCCGACCTCGAACAGGCCGTGCGATGGGTTTGCTTGGGCATCCTCTTCAACCAAGGTCAGGACTGCACCGCTGGTTCGCGCCTCTTTGTCCAAGACAAGATCTACGACGAGTTCATGCAGCAGCTCGTAGCAGCTTTCAAGGCGCACAAGGTCGGTGATCCTTTCCACGAGCTCACATTCCAGGGACCTCAAGTGAGCAAGCAACAGCAGCAAAAGATCCTCGACATGATCGAATCTGGTACACGCCAAGGAGCCAAGGTCGAGGTTGGCGGTAAAGAGTGGAAGAGTTCCGACGCCAAGTTCAGCAAGGGCTTCTTCGTCGAGCCTACCATCTTTTCCGGATGCAGAAAAGGTATGCGAATCGTCGACGAGGAGATCTTCGGACCCGTGCTGGCTGTTGCCAAGTTCAGCACCGAGGAGGAAGCCGTGCGCCTTGCCAACGAGACAGAGTACGGTTTGGGAGCGGGCGTCTTCTCCGAGAACGCCAGCCAGATTCAGCGAATGGTCTCTGCCATTGATGCAGGTACGGTGTGGGTCAACAACTACGTGGCGCTGAGCAACTCGGTGCCGTTTGGTGGCATGAAGGCGAGCGGATTCGGACGAGAGCTCGGCGTGGATGCCGTCAAGGCCTACTGCGATGTCAAGGCGATCCACTGGAACTATGGTGAGAAGCTCGATTGGCCTCTTCCGAAGCTTTGAAGTTGTACGGTCAAGTCTGAAGACAGCAGAGGACTAGCGCAAAGGCGCTGATTTGCAGTCATCCTTCGGGACGGTTCCGACTATCATGTACTTACTTTCTGAATACCATCGCTTGCTCAGACGTATCATCTTCGCGAAACGAGTTGCTGTGCGCGTACATCCTCTCAGCGATGTCTGACTTTTGGCGTTCTGTCGATACACCGCCGGTAGTTCGTCAAACGAGCCAGCCGTTCTTCCTTTTCTCGGCAACGGGGGTCGTTCAGCACCGAAATGGAAAGCCTGTCAAACACGGCACCTCTCAATCCGCACTCTTGCTCGAAGCTAGCTTGCCACCGGTCCATAGCGACACTGCTAATTGTCATACGACTCACATGTCTTGCAAGGATCCATCATGCTGTGAAGCGTGGACATCGGCAAGCGTGGCTAGAGCGCCTAACGCGGCAAGACACATGTGCTCAAAAGGACTTGTGTGTCTCTATCTCGCTTGTGGGTTGTCAAACAGGGCAAGGAAAAGGGTGGCTTTTTGGACAACGACGGGATATTTTGAATGGTGTTTCGAGTTTTCAAATCTCGTTAAGGCACCAGACTTGCAAACCCAAAGCCAGGTTGTATTCGTTTTGAAGGAATGGATTCAAGATTGCGGCTTTTTTACCTCGGGTAGAAAGAAATGCCAGGCAGAATTGGCTCAAATGGCTGCACACATGGTCGCATTTTATGCGACGTTTTGCTGTTCGAGCATGACGATTGACCAAGGAACCTCATCGTCAAGACCAGACTCTCGTCGACGTACGAGATTCTGGCCACTCCTCCGCCACTGAAAACATAGAGATAGGCAGACTGCTTGATACTGGTCTTGCGACATCTTACTTCGTCAATGTGAACGGGGAGTCATTTCAGCCAAACTGAAAGATCCGAGGAACCAATCAATCGGTTGGCCTTTTGCCGACTTCTTATCTTTGCTGTTTCCCATGCGAGAAAGTTGCCACGGCTCTATTTGTGTTTTCATTGTTTGAAATCGCCTTTTTTTACCCCGCACTGCAGCCACGCCTCTCTTTTTCGGAAAAGATAACCCGCAGCGATAAGCCTCTTCCCGTGCTCTCAGTCTGGGCTCCTCTGATACGACGGACGGTATCTCTGCAGGACTTTCTCGCCATGCGAGCAAACTCGGTCAAGACCTTGACGAGCAGTAGCACCTGACCTCGCCACCCTTTGCATGTCCCCTCTCATCCTCTCCGCTGATGCAGACCGCACATGCAAAACAGGAAAAGCACAACTGCGCTACTATCCACCGGCTGTTATCAGTGTGGGGGGGGTCCCTTTCTGACGCTACTCAACGGCATCTTGCATCAAGAGGCGTGAACTCAGACTCCGATGTAAAGGAATAGATTGTTGTCGATTTCGCATGCCGACTTGTACCTGCCTATCGCTGCCGGCGACAACTCTTGTCACTTGACCTCGTTAAGGTCCTTCAGAGTGGGTGCCACGCTTATCCGAGCAGACTCGATTGTGCCTCGTACAGGCTCAGGAAGATATCTGGTTCGCACCTGATCCGTATCACGAGGCTCGACCCTGGCTGCAACCTTCGGAGGGCTTATCGCCCCGTCGGCTCCTCGTGTAAACCGCTGCCTTCGGTCTTCGATCCTTCGACTCGCGTGCCCTTCAAACTACCATCTATCCTCAAGTCCGTATCTTGGACTCTTATACCCTCCGCCGACGGCAACATTGTCCCATCGCACCGCTCCCTCCTCCTATCCTGCCAAGTCGTCGGAACCCTTTTCCCGCTTCAAGAGCTCGTCGTGATCCCACCACCTCCACCTTCGATACCTCGTGCTGCTATCCCCCCTCATCGCAGCAACTCCCATCCAAGGCACTTCATCTTTGGCTCCGCCGCTTAGTGAATGATCGCAGCACCGCAAACGTCGACGTTTGCTTGGTTCTTGTTTGCAGACCATCCCTCCCACCGGTGTCTGCCATTCAAAGGCTCTTGAAGAATATCTTCCCCCTTTGCTTCTCTTGAATTAAGGTCAACGCCACCGTTCGGCTTTCCCTTTAGCCCATCATGGCCAGTCCCAACGGATCCTCCTATTCACACGATGTCAAGGGCGCTTCGTCCTCCGACATCGCCGCACCTCCGAGCAATGCCGTCGCCACAGCTGGCCCTGCCGTCACCTCCGACTCCGCCCCGCAGACCGCTCCAGCAGGTCGAGGTCAAGGCAAAATTCACCTCTCCAAGGATTTCATCGAACAGGCCGACGCCGAGCTCCTCGCCGCCCTCGGATACAAGCAGGAGTTCAAACGTGAATTCTCTTCCATCGAAGTCTTTGGTATCGCCTTCTCCATCATGGGTGTTGCTCCCTCGATCGCATCCACCCTCCTCTACTCTCTGCCCAGCGGTGGACCGGTGAGCATGGTGTGGGGTTGGTTGATCGGATGTTTCTTCATTGCGTTCACCGGATTGGCGTTGGGAGATTTGGCCAGTTCGATGCCTACCTCGGGTGGCTTGTATTACTGGACGTACGTGCTTTCGAGCAAGCGGTACAGGAAGTTTCTCTGTTGGACGGTCGGGTATGCCAACACGTTGTCGACTACCAGTGCCGTCGCTAGTATCGACTGGAGTGTGGCTATCATGATCCTCGCCGCGGTTTCGGTGGGGACTGATGGTAGATACGTCCCCACGGATGCTCAGACCTACGGTGTGTATTTGGGAGTTCTGCTGCTGCACGCCCTCCTGACTTCGATCGGAACCCGCGCACTTGCACGATTCCAAACCATCGCAACCGTCCTCTGCGCCGGTCTCGCCATCGCCATCTGCATCGTCCTCGGCACCACCACCCCCTCGGAGTACCGCAACACCGCGTCTTTCGCCTTCACCGGCTTTTACAACGAGACTGGCTGGTCGTCCGTGGGAGCCTTCTTCCTGGCATTCATGACGCCCGCCTGGACCGTCGCATCGTACGACTCGTGCGTCCACATCTCCGAAGAAGCCTCCAATGCGGCGAAAGCCGTGCCCATGGGAATCTTTTTCTCGATTGTCTCCTCCGGCATCCTCGGTCTCGGCATCATGATCGCCCTCACCTTCAACATGGGCACCGACCTCGCCCCCATCGTCAACAGCGACTACGGTCAACCCATGGCCACCATCATCCTCAACTCGTGCGGCAAGACCGGCTTCATGGTCATCTGGGTCTTCATGATCATCGTCAACTTTATGATGGGTGCGAGCATGAACCTGGCATCCTCCCGACAGATCTTCGCTTTCAGTCGTGATGGTGCACTTCCTTTTTCGAACTGGGTGTACCGGATCAACAGTTACACCTTGACTCCGGTGAACAGCGCTTGGTGGTCAGCCGCGTGTTCGGCGGTGTTCTGTCTGTTGGGACTGGTGAATGCTGTTGCCGTGGGTGCGGTGTTCTCGCTTTCCGTGATCGGCGCGAGCATCGCGTACACCATTCCAATCGTGGCGCGGTTGATGTCTCCCGAAAAATTCACCCCAGGCGTCTGGTATCTGGGTGACTTTTGGAGCAAAACCGTCGCATGGATCGCAGCCATCTGGTTGATCTTCATCAGCGTCATCGTTTGCTTGCCGAGCTACATCCCCGTAACAGGTGCGGCGGATATGAACTACGCTTGCGTAGTCACCGGTGCCACGTTCATCTTCAGCACCGCCTGGTACTACTGCCCCAAGTACGGCGGCGTCAACTGGTTCGAGGGTCCCAAGAGCAACATCGATGATGAGGAAGTGGCCGCGGTGGAGGTGGCGCACCAGTTGCAAGAGGAGGAGGACAGGAAGAAGGCAAAGAGTCAACAGGAGGAGTTGAACCAGACCGTAGAGGTGGATGATTTCAAAGAGTGAAGGCGTAGTGACCCAGGCGATGGTTGATCCGACAGGTTAATGTAAATGCTCTGCAGGGACGGACCAATCTGTCTGTGATTGTGAGATGTGTACACCGGGAGTACGGTTGTGACGGTGACATTGAAAATGCAGTTGACAGGCACAGCTTCCCTCCCCCCAACTCACTTGACATCAACGCTCTCCCCCACCCTCTCCTTCGCCTTCGACTGGATCACGCTCCCCGCCTTGAAATTCACCGGCCTCAACCTCCCCGCCAACTTCCGATCCTCCAAGTACATCGACCTCTCGAACGCCAGCATGATATCCGCGTGCGCCAGCAGATCGAAGCACTCGTCCGTGTTGAGGTACTCCTCGCTCGCCGCCGCTCGCATCTGCTGCACCTGTGCGGGCGAAGCAGCTTCGAGTCGCGGATCCGGTCGGACGCCCGTGGCTGAGGCGGGTGTGGTCGGTTTGCGGGTCGTCGCGCCGGTGGTGCCGGGTTTGGTCGGGGTGGATTTGTTCGGCGTCGAAGTGGTGGAAGAGGAGGTGGATCGACCGGAGATGCCGCCGAAGAGTTGGTCCCAGCCAGACATACTTTTGCCAAAAGCGGGTTTGCCGCTTGTAGAAGGCGTACGCTTGACACCTGGTGCGGCGGTGGCGGACGAAGATGATGCGCCGGCGAGTCGACCAGCGCCTGTGGGGGTGGACGCGCCTCCAGGTCCCGGTTTCAGCGCGTTGATGCTACCGGGACGGAACGCAGATGCTTGCGGGTTGAGTTTGGTAGCAGCGCCGGCAGACGGCTTGATCGATTTGTTCACAGCGGCGTCGATCGACGCTCGCATCTTGGCTTCGGCTGACATTGCCTTGCCACCACCAGCGGTGCTTATAGCTGCTGAGCTAGATGCGGCTGCTCCGGCTTTCTTGCTGCCTGTTGCTGCTCTTGATGCCAACGAAGCAGCAGGAGCCCGACCACCTGCCTTCTTTGCACCGACCGTTGCTGAAGCTCGGCCCTTTCGCGTTGCCTTCCCGCCCTTTCTCGGGCCCTCGTCCTCCTGATCGAATGCATCGTCGCTGTCGTCCAAGAGGTCGTCCTCGTCAGAAGCAGCATCCACCATCTCCTCATCGCTGTCGTCGCTGTACTCCACTGTCTTCCTCTTGCTCTTCCCTCTGCGTCCGTGCTGAGCTTGATTCTTGCTGTTCTCTTGGCGGCCGCCATCATCCTCCAGCTTGGCTCGCTTCCTCTGCGGTGCCGCCGACGTATCGACAGCACCCGCCACATCTTCATCCTGATCATCCGCGATGACCGCCCTCCGCCTTCCTTCGGCCTTGCTCCTCGCAGCTCTATCCCTCTTCCCAGTCGCGACATTCTTCTTCGTTACCCTCTTCCCTTGCTCCGGATCAAAGTCATCTCCAAACTGAGCGTCATCCTTCATCGCAGCATCACCATCACTCGCGCCATCCTCCTCCTCGTCCGCCAGATCACGCAGATCATCAGCCAGCTTCTTCTGCTCACGGCCCCGGCCGCCCACCTTGAGCGTCACCTTCGTCGCAGAACCCGGTTGAGGTGTGACGCCTCGCGAAGGTCCACTGTCGCTCGCCGCATCTGCATCCGTGGGTTGTTTAGACTTCCTGCTGAGCTTGACTTTGATCTTCGACTTTGGCGGCTCCTCTGCAGCAGCGGCAGGCTTGGTGGCTGGAGACGACTTCTCATCTGCTGCCGAGGGGGAGGGAGATCGAAGTTTTGCGGGTGGCTTGCGGTCTCGTGTCGAAGCTCGTCGTGCAGAAGCTGGTGTCGATGTGGAAGGTTCGGGTCTGTTGCTGCTCGATGCCGGGTCCTGTTTGATCTGGGTCGAGTTGGTAACTGTCGAAGCGTCGGTGACGCGTTTGGAGGCGCGTCTTGCGGTGGTCGGAGGCGGGGGAGGACTCTTTGAGACTGCTGGTGGTGGTGCTTCGGGTGAAACAGCGCGAGGCGTGGCAGCTGGGCCGGGAGTGGGAGGAGCTGAGACGTCGGAGAGATCGGAATCTCCATCAAAGGCGTCCATCGTGAGAGCTTCTGTTGGTGTCTACCAGTGTGGAAGCTGCGACTGGCTGTGTTGATGCTCAAGGAGCTTCTGATCGGTGGTCGATGTCTGTGTCGACGGAACGCGAGATGAAGTGGTGGAGAAGGTGAGAAGGAAGTGAACCTCAGGGCAGGGTCTCAAAGAATCCGCTGCGTACTTTTCGAGGCGCGTGCGTTTGCGAAGAATGTGGAGACAAACACCCCGGGAAAAACAAGGCAGCAGATGGCTTCATCAGTCAACCACTTGCTTGGCGTCGCCAGCTTACGGCGATCCACCACTATTTCTCAAAGTGATTTGCTTCATGATCACCACAAACCTCCGGATGTCAAAAGCAATAAACGATTGCATCCAACATCGCGCAACGGGATTGTCTGGCACTGCCGTCCCTTGATAAACTGCAACGATGCCATTGAACCGTCTGCTAAAATTACAAAGTGCTTTCCCCTCCTCATCGAGCGCCACCTCACCTGCCCTCCGCCTCCCCCTCCCCTCTGATACTCTTCAACTGACTGCCAAAAGTGACCAGAATATTCTTGAGCAGCTCGTACAACCCATTCGCACCCTCCCTATCCAGCCAATCCAACATGTACGCTCTGAAGTCCGTATGCGTCCACGCCGCCGGCATCCCACTCTTCTTGGCGCCTTTCAACGTCTTCTGCGTGATCGGCCCGCGTATCCACCCCTCCTCCTTCACCTTCCCCTTCGAAGCATACACGTTGGCGAACCGCTCCGTAACGTGACTCATGGCTCGCGAGAACGGACTGTTGGCCAACGTCGACAGCTTGAGGTTCAACACATCGCCGCGCTGCGTCAACTCGTTGAGCACCGAAGCGTCGAATCCTGCCGGAAGCGCACCAGGTTGGTCGTCCTCCAGGATCACCTTGCCCATCCACACGAGATTCGCCACGAGCGTCACGGTGCTGTTGAGCGTGGCGAGATTCTCCTCTTCGAAGAATCGAGATCGCAGTTCGATGAACTTGCTCTCCAGTCCGCCGTCAACTTTGGCTGCATCGTGGACGCCCGCATTGTGCTGCTCGAATGCCGAGCGCAGATCCTGCACGAGTCCGCAGAGACGTGAGACGGGCACGATGGTACTCGCATGCATGGTGAAGGCGAACAGCGGCAGAGCCGGGATGCTTGCAGTAGCACGCATGCCGACGAGCGGGCCAGACAGCGCCTCGTAGACCGATAGCGATGCGTGTTCCATCATCAGGTGACGCGGGTACAGCCCCACCAAGGAAGCCGCCAGCGCATCGGTGCGAGAAGAGACGCTCGAGATGAGTTCGGTGTAGTCCACGCCAGCGTCGAGGTTCGAGATGCCCCAACGGTACGAGTTGCGCGAATCGAGCGTACGCCCGATCTCTGCCCAATCGCGAACGCCCCAGCTAGACAGCAGACCGGACAAGGCCAGCAGCGCAGCCGCAGAGGTATCCAGCGAGACCTTGCTCGACGTCGCCAGCACGTCCAGAGGCGCCATGAACCTCTCCTCGAACGACGCCAGATCACACGGCGTGACGAGAGGTACAAACGTCAGCACCTCCTTCGCCAGCTGATCCCACCTCTCCGACCACCCATCCATATCATCCACCGTCTTGACCTCCTTCCCGCTTCGCTCCTCCTCCTTACCAGCAGCCACCTGAGCGATCGCCGTCAACACGCTCGAAGTGAGCGCCTCCAACTTCGCCGGCATCTGCTCCGCCAGTTCGAAGACATACCTCGTCCTGCGCAACAACGCTGCCAGCCTCTTGAACTCGGCCTCGGTCGACGGCAGCTTCAGCCTCCTCTTCTGCGACGATGCCTGAACACCAAGCTCGTCGCTCAGCACGCTCTCGAGCCAGTCCGACAGTCGTGCCCAGCAAAGATCCTGCTCCGCCTGCCGGTTTCTACGACCCGCAGGGATCGTCTGGCTGAGCGAGTCCTCGTTGGTCACCGTGGCACCCGCCAGCACAGCGACGCGCATCAGACGCGCGCCGAATCCGCTTCCAAGCATCGCTGCCGCTTGAGACGGCAGCACCAGTCGATCCAGACTGTGAGCCAAATGTCGCAAAGACGAGAGTTCCGTGATGAGCGAAGGATGTGTGCCGAATGCTTTCTGCGCCGAGTTGAGAGGCTGTATTGTGACTAGATTCGGTATGGCGATCGATGTCGGAGCGGCCGAGCCGATCGCTCCCTGATCGCCTGCCGCGCTCTCCTTGACAGCATTCGAAGACAAACGTTGCTTCTTTATCGCCCTGTTGCCCCCTGCATCCTCGTTCTCGACCTCTGCTTCGTCGTCCGACTCCACCGCCTCGCCCTGACTGCGCCGTGTGCAGCGCGCATGCGCCAGCAACACCGCTGCAATCCAGTCGCAATCCGGATACTTCAAACTCGCTGCCGGACCGCCCGCGATCGCCGAGCTTCCCGCACCACCACCTCCCAACAGCTCCGGGAACAACAGATCCGGATAAAAGTTGGCGTACGTCGAAAGCACAGCCGAAACCCCCGCCTCACCCGCCGAATTGGCTCGCATCGCCATCAGCTTGGTGATCCTGTAATGTCGAACGTGTCTGCGTTTCGTCAACCTGCATAGTAGGTAGCACAGATGTGGTCGAAGAGCCTGATAGTCAAGGTAGTGGAACAAGGTCGAATAGCACTTTTCCAACGTTGTCTTGGCTGCAGATGTGAGGTACGAGGTCGGCAGGTTCCCCGCGAGCCCAGTGTATTGAGATGCATGTCGTTGAAGTCGCTCCTGCTCACGTTCGTTTCGTTGCCTTTCCGAGCGTGATGCCGCCTCCTGATCCGTAGCATTGCTGTAGAAGTTGGCAGCGATGGATAAGGGTACCGAGGGCGATTCGAGCAGCACTGATAGCAGCTTGAGTGCTGCCACTTGGACCTTGCTGTCCACTTGAAGTCGTTGTGGCCCGAGACTTGGACCTGCACTGCTGCTGCCGTCTCGCAGCAGACCAGCTGGTTTGAGCGTGTCGGCACCCGGCGATGGTCCCAAGCATGCGATGATGTCGAGCACAGCTTGCCTGCCGACTCGAGCGCGTGGTTTGGGGATGACGAACCGCAAGAGGGCAAGCGATACGGATGATTTGGGAGGCTTCTGCTTGGCAGAGCTGCTGGTGCCTGTGGATGAGAGTGGACGAAGACGGCCAAGCAGAGCCAATCGAACGAGCTGTTCGCATTGTTTCGAGGAGAAGCCGAAGGACCTGGCGTGCTTCTGGATTCCTGTCAGCGCCGTCGAAAGATTCTCTGCAATCCCTGTACCTCCAGCTGGCGCAGAGAGCGCTTTGGATACCTCGAGGATGAGGCGATCCGCCGCCGCTGCCGCGTCAGCTGTGGTCGTTACGAGCGCAGGCATGTTCGATTTTACACCACTTGCAGCCTAGCAGAGGATGCAGAGCCGTATACTGGGGTGGATTCGTTGCGATACGAGTGAGATTGCGTCGATCTGCCGATTACTTGCACTGTGTTGCTTCTAAGGCAACCGATGAGCACTCGCGAGCAGCGAGCGGCAGGATGGATGGTCGGTGTCGAAACTGTTCAGGTCGGGCAGATCTGCGCAGGTGGCAGCATGTCACTGTCGGTCGATCAGGTATATCAGGAGAAGCGACGACCGGTTCGTCTTCTGTCGAGGCCGTCAGCGGATGCGATGGGATATAATACAAGTGATGGTGGTGATCACGATAGCGAGGAGAGCCGATCTGTCAAAAAGCAACACTCGACTCCGCACTTTGTTTGTTCCACACGCGACGTGACGCGCTAAACAATTTCCCACACCGAAGACAATCTAGGTCTAACATCACACGTGAATTCTCAGACCACACCGCACATATCTTGTCCATCGCACAGCTCACCTGGCATTCGTGTGTCGCATCTCGAGCTCGCTCGATGGAGAAGCTCAGCCATCGACACTGGGCTTTGGACGCTACTCCTGCCTCACAACAGCGTGCAATGCATCTCTGCTCATCGTGCAACACCGCACCCTCAGCCGAGCGCGACTTTGTGTACCATTGAAAGGTCATCAGGCAGGCAGAAAGAGTCAAGTAGCGAAAGAATTGGTATTGGCGTTCGGGAATCCAGCTGGATCGAGCCGGTTCAGCGTCAAAAATTTGTAGGTGTGAGAAGGGTGAGAAGGTTTGAGTCGGGTCGTCGAAAGCGTGATGGACGTATGCGCGTGACTAGAACATCGGACGAGAAAAGGTGCGGGATTCGTAGGCGGGACCCGACAATCCTGCATTGTGTCAGGGGTCGTTGGAAGCCGAGTTGACCGCACGGGAAAGCACGATCAATTCGGCAGAATCGGCCATCTGTGGCAGAGCATCTGCTCCGAGCTGCATGAACGGGATGACAGCGGCGAGCTCATCTGCGTCTGCCCAAAGACGACTTCCGGCGAAAAGACCATTTAGTGGGTCTCGGCGGGGGCGGCAGGGGTGCTCGCATTGGCCTGGTGGACGGTCTTCTGGGTGGTCAGGAAAGCGGGGCGGATGACCTTGCTGTAGACCATCTTGGCACCCTGGGTCTGGGGAAGCATGAGCCACACGATGGCGAGCGTCTTGATGGTGTAGTACCAGGGCACGTAGTAGAGGACGATGGAGGAGAAGGTCTCGAGGAAGGTGAACATGCCGAACACGACCCAGTAGGTGAGCCACTGGATGTCATCCTGGGGCTGGGGGCTCTCGAGTGCCTTGAGCGAGAAGTAAGCGGGGATGAAGAAGCCGATCAGGTTGGTCAAGAAGCCAGCGGCGATGTTGAAGAAGACAAACTGTGGGTCGAGAACAGTTTAAAGAAGCCGCCAAGAACAGAGGGTGCGTGGAAGAACAGATAGTGTGTCAGCAAATCGAGTCCGCATGCTGACGAGCTTTTGTGCTGATGCGACCGTGACGCGAGCAGACGGTATAGCGTCCATCGAAGCTTCTGTGATCCGCTTCCCGAGAGTACAAGAAACGGCTGTCTCGGGGCCATCCTTTCCAATTTCTTTTCGCAAAGAGACTTGGAATCGTGCGCTTGCACGTTGTGCTACCCAGCTGGTCCAGTTCGAGCGCGGCAAGGACCTGCTTGCTGATGTTTGACCAGCTTGATCGATCGAGTCGTACTTACGAGAGTGAAGATACCGAAAGCGCCGATAGCGGCGTAGGCCTTAGGGATGGGCACGGTCTGCTCGAACTTCTTCAGAGCGGGGTACCTGGAGAGCTGTTGGGCAGGGGAATTGGCAATTGCGGCGGAAGAAAAGCGGAGGTCAGATCAGTAAGACGTTACGAGTAGAAAATTGGTTTGACCGAAAGCTGCTGCCTTCAGAGAGTTGGAACTTACCTCCTTGTCGATCTGTTATCGGGAACAGTCGTTATCAACCAGACATGCGGGGTGTGGGTCGTTAGGACGTTCGGAACCATCCGGAGGGAGAAATGTTTTCGAGCGTAGCGCGATGCAATCAATGGCCACCATTTGCGGAAGTTTAGGCAACCATCGAGCGGCAAGGGAACAGAGAAGTTGCAAGATCGCGTGCGATGCAGAGGTGAAAGGATAAAGAGAGTTTGTACAGGTGCTGGTCAGCGATCATGATCCATCTTTCAGAGCGAGTCGCCGTCGTTGCCATCCAGAACACTACTCGTCGAGCTACTTCCGAGTCGAGGACCTGGAATGTTCACGACGGCGAGAGACTGAACAAAGATACACACCTGGGCGACAAAGTATTCCACCTTCTGCTGGATCTGCTGAGCCTGGGCTGCCATTGTTGCTGGAGTGTGTCTTTGTTCGAGGGGATGAGTGTTGTGATATGAGGAATGACTTTGATCGGTCGATGGGATCGATTTCAAAAGTGATGCGACGATTGGATGATGTCGAGCAGATGAGTTGGATATGGAGCGATGGCAAGATAGATAGCGACGAACCGAAGGTGGAGAACGGTCAGTGTGTGCACAGGGCGCGTGTGTGTGTGTGTTGTGCGGAGCGAATAGTGAGAGTTTCAGAGTTGGCAGAAGAGCGGCAGACGAGCGGCAGATGACTGACTGAGAATTCGAAGCACAGCCTGAGTGACGTTGACTCTCTGACGCACTGACACCTCTTTTTTTCTCTCCTCCTCGCAAGGCCCTCCCGGCTCAACTCGAGTCTCGCTCGACATGTCGAACAAGGAAGAAACGAAGCGTTAGAGGTGTGCGCGTGTGTAAGTGTGATTCTGATTTCGAAGATTGGCAGGCGCGAGCGAGGGAGAGGGCGGGTGCCGGGCACTGGGCCAGTCTCACGCGAGATTCCAAGTTGATGGCGCCTCATTCCGAAATTCTCAGCGCTGTGTGATGCCACTGTGCTGTGCCGATACGATACGCACATCTTCTTCCCCTTCTCAAAATAACCTGGCGTCTTCTCATCTTGCTTCTCGTCTGCACAATGATGATTCGGAGGCTCAAGGAAGGCGAACCACAGCATGATCTCTCCAATGCAGCAGCGGCGTCTCGCAGCCATCACCAGTGTTGTCCGTCAGGTCGACTCCAAGCAGGCAAAAAAGCAAGCTGCATTCGACGAAGCAGAAAGCCACCGACGACATGCTCTCTCCGCGCTGCTTATTTGCTCGTCTAAGTTATCTGCAACGATCAGCTTTCAACACGCCAAAAGAGAAATCGACAACCTTTTCCCCTTCCCTCGCCCCCTGCTTCTTTTTTTTTTTTTTTGAAA